CCCTAAACCCTAAACCCTAAACCCTAAACCCTAAACCCTAAACCCTAAACCCTAAACCCTAAACCCTAAACCCTAAACCCTAAACCCTAAACCCTAAACCCTAAACCCTAAACCCTAAACCCTAAACCCTAAACCCTAAACCCTAAACCCTAAAACCCTAAACCCTAAAATCTAGAACACAAAATACCCTAAAAGTCGAGGAAGGCCGCCGCGACAAGAGACACACACAAGGACACTCGCGCGATGGGACCATGAAGATGCTGGGGAAAGAGACGGCGTTCCGGTTGGACAGTTTTGGTACGACTTAAACCGCTCAACGGGCCAAGAGCGACTGAAGCGTTTGAGAAACTTCGACGACGCGTCCAACAATGCGCTCGAGTACCTCGAGACGTGTGAACCAAGAAAAGCCAAGACACAAGGCCGAAACGCTAAATAAGGCTGATGAAGAGATGAATGAGCTGATGATAATTACGGTCTCCATGCGAATAGAAAAACATTGTAATTCATCTGTCGATACATCCAAGCGAGTTTCTGAGAACAGAAAAATAGTCCGTCCCGCGAATGACGGAACGCGCACAGATGACGGAGCGAGGAGACATGCGAATCGCTCCCGGTGAGATGGAGGGAGATGGAGAGGGTGGAGAGGGGTGGAGGGAGATGGAGCCACTCTCGCGAAACAACGACGACGACATAACTTCGACCCCAGCTCTCTCTGAACGCTATGATATGCTAAGATATATTTTTTAAAAAAGTAAAGGTATGAATGGTCCAAGCGGACGGTGGATTCGGAAGACCACCCGAGTACTGGAACACAGATGGTCATGGTTTCAAAATGTCCATCAACATCGACAAGGACGCTATTCAGTTACGGGTGTTTTTTCTCGAGTGCGACACGAAACAAGTTGGCGCGCTCTAAACGGTGCGAGCATGATTGAAGATTTTCAGCGCGCACGTCCGCGACCACTTGGATGGCAAGTTGCCGAGAAAGAACGATGTGGCCACACTCGCGCGATGGGACCATGAAGATGCTGGGGAAAGAGACGGCGTTCCGGTTGGAAAATTTTGGTACGACTTAAACCACTCAACGGGCCAAGAGCGACTGAAGCGTTTGAGAAAATTCGACGACGCGTCGAAGCATGCGCTCGAGTATCTCGAGACATGTGTGTTTCGCGAAGATGGCTATGCATATATGAACACAGCGCACGACGCGCGCAAGTTGACGATTTTCAGCGCGCACGTCCGCGACCACTTGGATGGCAAGTTGCCGAGATTTCGTGATGTGGCCACACTCGCGCGATGGGACCATGACGATGATGGGGAAAGAGACGGCGTTCCGGTGGGAAAGTGGTGGTACAACTTAACCCGCGATATCCGGTTCCAAGAGCGACTGAAGCGTTTGAGAAACTTCGACGACGCGTCCAACAATGCGCTCGAGTACCTCGAGAGATGTGAACCAAGAAAAGACAAGACACAAGGCCGAAACGCTAAATAAGGCTGATAAAGAGATGAATGAGCTGATGATAATTACGGTCTCCATGCGAACAGAAAAACGTTCCGTCCCGATGAGACGTGCAAATCACTCCCGGTGATTGTCATTGAATAGGAAACTATTGTAATTTGTTATACTCGTATTCGATGCGCAGGCGGCGCTCGTTACCCTCCCCAATAGCGCTGTGAGACAGTGAGTACGTATCGACGAGCGCTTGTTGCATCGCGATGATGCGATTCGATCTCGGCAACAGCTCCACGGGCTCACGATGTGGGATCACGAGCTGCTCCACGGCCATTCGTACCTCCTCGAGAGCGTCCGTTTCGTCCGCAGTAGAGCTCGCTCGAATTCCCGTCTGCTGTGCCTCCTGAGATGCATTACCAATCCCATCCCCCGCGCCGGTGATACCGAGCATCGCTTGAAGAGCTCGAACAAGCTGCGCCGAGTTATCAGCGCGCACGGCGTAGATAGGCATCCCTCGAGCACGCGCCGCGTGTCGGAGCCACGTCGACGTTTTCACCTGCGACTTGGGGGCGACAACGACGCTGGCATCTTCGAGAAGGTCAACTAGACACACGCGCTCACTCAAGCCCATGCTCGACATCACCCGCTCCAAGGCTTCTCGGCTCACTTTAAACGGGAAGACGCGTAAGGCGTTCGGCGAGCATCCAACTTCCTCGTCATCGTCCGTTTCACCCACGTCGCGTACGTCCTCACTCCTTCGATCCTGATCCTGCGCGCTCCCAATTTTATTCGATGACAATGACGACAAAGACGACGACGTGAGCTCCATCGCCGCCCACTCTGAGCTTGAACGAAGTTGTGTCCTCGGTGAGGTGGAGAGACGAGACTCCGCGGGATTATACGCGGCTTGTACGTGTCCGTAAGCAGATGGAGTTCTTCGACTCGTGTACTCCGCTTCTGCCGTCACGGAACCATCTGCATTGAGAGTGCGAAGCTCTGTCATCGGGGACTGTCCTGCAAGCAAAGCATCAACGGACGCGGCAACATCGGTGTGGACTCGCCAAGTCCCAACGTCGAGCATTTCGACAGCAATTGTAAACGTTGGTGGTCCCTCGCGCTCGAGCACGCTCTTTTGTACACCGCGCCTTCGAGCTTCGTCGTCCCCCAGCGTCACACTCACGACGCCTCCGATCAAATCGCACAAAGATGGATTCTTTAACACATTCTCCAAGGTGTGGCCGTGCGCCGTCCCTATGAGTTGAACCCCTCTCTCCGCTATCGTTCGGCACGCATTTGCCTCGGCTTCGGTCCCGACCTCATCTACCACGATTGTTTCCGGCGTGTGATTCTCCACAGCTTCAATGAGGACCAAGTGTTGCTCACTCGCCGTCGGGACTTGCATGCGCCGGGCGCTACCGATGCCTTTATGCGGAACATCACCGTCTCCCGCAATCTCATTTGAGGTGTCAACGATCACCACGCGGCGATGATGCTCCTCGGCGAGAATGCGGGAAATTTCTCTAATTGCAGTCGTCTTCCCAACGCCTGGTCGCCCCAGGAGTAGAATCGAGGCATTCATTGCCGATACTGACGTCTCAGCCTCCAGAATATCCCTGATAAGTGCGGCTGAGCCTGAAATCGACCGTCCAACTCTGCACGTCGCGCCGACCACCTTTCCGTACCTATTCCTAATTGCGCTCACGCGATGCAACGTTCCATTGATACCCGCACGATTATCTCTTCCGAAGTCTCCAACTTTGTCCATCAATCGCGCCAAGTCGTCGTAAGTGACCATCTCATCGCCGATGGTCGTGTCACCATCGGGAAAACGAGCCGTGGGAAGTCGTCCTACATCGAGCACGATCTCGCTCAGCTCAAGCCTGCGATCGTCTGCCCCTAGCGCGTCTCGAACGCGCGCGGGGGCGGCATCGAGTAAGAGCGCAATCTCTTCTTCATTCGTCACCGCGCGAAGTGTCGCTCTTCGACGCGCCGCAAGGACGTCGACGGTCTTGAGCTGAGGACCGCTCGCCACGTCGACGTCCCCGACTGTTTCTCCGTACGACGTTGCGACGGTGCGACGAACACCGACGGTGCGACGAAAGAGCGAACCACGATGCCACCGTGACGCGACGTCGCATCGCGTCGATGTCGTCACCCCGCTTGTCGCGATCGTCGACGAAGTACTCATAGTCGCCGAGGCGCAGAATGGAGCGTGCGCAAGGCTACAAAGCTACCGGTACATAACAATACAAACTCTACGCTATCGGTACGACTACACTACTCCTGTGCACTTTTGTCGCTCTCGACTGGAACGGTGCTCATGACTCGGTTAGCTCTAGATAGTTCGCTCTGGAACTCGCTTTGAATTTCAACCAGCTCGACGTTCATGCGCTCGATGTATGACCTCCTATCGTCCTCACTATCAAACGCGCCCTCCATCATCCTTCTTACACCCTCGGGCGTTTTATCTCGAACGATTGGTCCGATTGATTCGCCAATAGCATCCTCCAGCGCGTCCCACGTCGGTTTCAATGGCGCCGGAACGGCGTCTTCTAGCCGAGATTTGAGCCGTCTGAGCTTTGGTCCCAACGGTGGAGCCGCATCGTCCAAACTAAGCCTGATAGTCTCCAAACGATTCTTCAGCTTTTTCATGCGCTCGATTTCGTCGAGCGTCGCCTCAACACGCTCTATTTCGCGTTGAATTCTCAACAATCGACGCGTTTTGCCCTCCTCTGTGTCTATGTCTTCGTCCGTTGCTTCCTTCTTCTTTCGCACGAGTAAACCGACGATTCGATCGCGTACGCTCTTGCGACCAGCCTTGAGGTCCTTTTGCCGCGCGACGTATCTTCTCACCGCGCGCCGGCGTTTCTGCGTGCCTCCCCGAACGCTTTGCAATACTCTCGCGAGCTCTTCCTCCTCACGACGCTTCGCCACGAGAACCGCAACGTCTATCGGACCACCCGGCAAGATCGTGAAACGTCCCTTTGGGATCTCCTTCAAGTTTTTGTTCACCACTGTCTTGTCTCGATCCAAAGACGAGTATGCCGTGGACTTCAAAGCGCCCGAGCTCTTCATTTTTTGTTTATCGTAGGCGACCACTCTCGTCGTAGGGCCAGGCAATCCACTAAGATCTCGCAGTTCGTTACGAAGCTGTCTGCTTAAATTTCCAACAGCCGGTGCGCCGCAAAAATAAACCCATGGGATCCATGTCGGAATTCCTAAAACGTCCGGGTGAGCGTACGAGTACAGGTGTCCATAATTTATCAAGACAATTTCAGCGACAGGCCCAGCGACGGCGGTGAGACTCGCCATGAAGAATCCTTGCGCGCTTCTGTCGAAGATGTACCACGTCGAAACACCCCACACGCACAGCACGAAATCGATCAGATGGTACGGTAAGAATCCATCGACCAACGGCGACTGGGGCGAGGCTAAAACACCGGACGCCAAGTACTGAAATGCGAAAACTGAAATGCACCAGTTGACGCTCATCCAGCCCGGCATGAATCCGAGCGCGGGTTTTCCCGGACACCTGTCGATCAAATCGGAGGTTCTGCTGACTTGTTCGTCAATTCCATGCATACCTCTGCGAATTTCCGTCTCTCGTGCGCGTCTAACGGAGTCACGGATCCTTCTTTCGTCGAGAATCGTTGTGCCGGTACCGATGACGATGGCGGCGACGCCGAACAGTGGCGGGACCCACCATCCGGTTTCGAGCACGCCGTTTTCGTTCACGAACGCGACGCGCACCGCGTCTTTAATGAAACCGGGAAGTACAGAGTCGAACATCCTACCGAAAGGCGATTGCCACATCGGAGCCATGAGAGCGTCGAAGTGGACTCTAACCGGCTCGGTGTAGTGCAGTACGTTGAAACGGCTATGCTGATGGTCCAGTAACGGGCCCAAGATGGCTCCTGACACGAAGATCAACAACACTTCGTTCAACAGCGCCAGTCGTTCTTTCTCAACCTCGTCCTGCATCACTTCCGGCGTCAGCGCGGGAGGCTTTGAGCCCGCGATGCGAACGACTCCAGACTGAAATTTGTCGCCGCTCGGCTCGGCTTCCTGCGTCTTCACCACTCGAGCGACGATCGACGCGGCGTCTCTTCTTCGCTCCAGAGCCTCCATATCTCTCTTCGCACGCTCCGAGTTTTCGCGATCTGGCCTGGACGACGCCGAAACGACGCGCGTTCGCTCGACCCCCGTGCGTCGGTTCCTCGTCCCCCTGGTACCGCCAGCGCGCGCGAAGGACTCGCTCGCGGTCGAGCGCATCGTCCTCGCGTCGACACCGCGGATGCGGGCGAGACGCGCGCGCTCACGCGAGCGTTCGCCGCCGCGAAGACCGCGGCGTCGACGCGCGAGCGTGTGCGACTCCTTCGAATCGTGAACGCGACCAGTGTTCACATCGCCCGAGCGCACCTCATTCAGACCCAGACGGGGCTGGATAAGGCGGTGCGAGCGGCAAAGCGCGACGCGCGGCGCCGTCGACGCGACGGCAGAGCGAGCGGCGCTCGAGGACGCAATCGCATGGTGGCTTTCGCCGCGCACGCCCCGCGCGCGTCCGCGAACGCACGCGCGCGCGCGAACTCGACAGCCGCGCGAGACAACACCGTCCGACGCAGAGCCGGAGGCACGCGCGTCACCTCGCTCCGGAGGCCGGCGACGAGGGCGAGGACGATCGAAACCGCCGCACGCGATCGTACCGCGATGATCGCTCGCGCGTCGGGAGCGTCCGACGTCGCGTCCGCCGATCGTTCTGTGGCAAAGCCAACGGCGAATGGGGAGAAGTCTTTCAGCGGCATGGACGGCACGGAGTGGTTTTCTCGAAACTTTTCAGAGCAAGGGAGGAAGTTTAGTGAGGTTTTTCCGGTGCGTTACGCCGAGACCGGGCCGAACGGGGAAGCGACGATGGTGACCATCGCCGATCTGATCCAGGAGTGTGCATGCAACCACGCGCAAGGTATCTGGGGCGTAGGGCAGTCAATGCCGGCGGAGATGGCGAAAGGTCACTTGGCGTGGGTGTGCACGCGTCTCCATCTATGTGTGAGAAAATATCCGAAGTGGGGCGAGAAGATGGAGGTGAGCACGTGGTTCGAGCCTCAGGGAAAAATTGCGGCTCGTAGAGACTATTCCATCACGGACGAGTCTGGAGTTCAAATAGGCGAAGCCACGTCGCAGTGGGTTGTGCTGAATCTCAACACACGTAGGATGGCACGTATCCCGAATTCAGTTCTAGAAGATTTCAAGTATCAAGCTCTCGAGCGTCAGGTGATGGAAGAGGGGTACGCTAGTGACAAGCTTGCCGATGTGACCGAAATCGCCGCCAACCAGTGCGTCTCACCGATTACGCATCACGTGCGACGAAACGACATGGACATGAACGGTCACGTCAACAATGTGGTTTACGTTCAGTGGATTCTCGAGAGCGTTCCTCAGGAGACTTGGAACGGGCGCGCGCTTCAAGAGATAATCTTGGAGTATCGGAGCGAGTGCAATTTTGGTGAATGTATCACGGCAACGTGCTGCGAGGTTGAGGAGCAAAGCGACTCGTACGTGCTGCTACACAAATTGGCGAGAGGTGATGACGAGATTGTGAGAGCCAAGACGGTGTGGACGAAGCAGAAGACATCGTAATTAATGTAATGCCAAGTGCAAAAAAACAGTACTTAGCGAGGTGACTGACGACGTGACACGGCCGACTGGATTCACTCACGCTTCACTACGGGGCACACCAATCGAATGAATGTCATTACGTGGTTATACATTTTCCTCATCATGATCCTCCTTCAAGCACCGCAGCCTCACGCGTTCGACTGCACGGTAGTGGAAGCTCTAGAAAATTCGTGCACTGCTCGAACACTACTTTCGGAAATCATGGAAACGGTTGAGATACGATCGTTCGCCTCGCTCGTCGATAAGAATGATCTGTATAAGAATATGCTCGGGTCGCTGTCGTACAAGGCGACCGTTTTTGCGCCAAAAGATCTGGCGTGGTACAGCCGACCCTCCATGCCAGCCGGCGAGTTGTCGGCAGAAGAGGCAGAAAAAGTGATTCAGTCGCACGTCGTGAGCTCAAGTGTCGTTAGTTCACTCGAGATTGGAATGCGTCTCATTACTGATCTGGGCGTCAAGGAAGCCTTGCTGCCAGGGTCAACGGTGGCGCACTCGCTCGTCGTAGGCTCATCGAGTGAACGCCCTTTGCTGTTGCTTGGCGGAAGTCACGTAAGACATGCTCGTTGTCAAGTTTTTGGTTCAGCCTTGCTCAGGGAGTGTCTACCATCAGCGTGTGATGAGTGCGCATTCGCGATCCAGTCGTCCAATGTTCTGAACTATGTCGGCGCCGGCGACGGAGATGCGGTATTTGTTGACAATGACGGTCAAATGGACGTGGAAGACGAAATAATCTCGCGCAGTCCATCACGCAGCGTTGTTCTACATGAGATTCGAGCATCAAACGGAGTTATCTTTGTGTTGGACAACACTGTGTTTCCAGCTCGCGTCGTCGACCAAAAGCACGTTGAAGAGTCCCCAAACACGCGGATCGAGGTTGCGACAACGACGCCGAATCCGCCCTCGGTGCCATTGCCTTCTCCGAGTCCAAAACCAAAACCACCACCCCCACAGATAGGCTCACCGGACCCTCTGCTCTGGCGAGTACGCCCTCCGCCTCCGAGCGTCGCGCCTTATGCGTCGCCATCGCACCTGGCTGGTCAGCCAAAAGGTAGTTGCGTGACAGCGTCTCCGAACATTTGCGGGCTCTGTGACTACTCGTACAATGAGCTGGCTCCGTGTTGCTGTGACTCGGAGTGCGCGTCGAACGATCCCCCGGATTGCTGTGACGACTATCAAACCGTCTGTCTCACTGACTAAGGATAATACTTTCTACCGGTACATCTACCGGGTACCGGTACGGTACGTGTACTAGTACAAGTAGTACTTGTAATACTTGTATTTACAAATCTATCTACAGCTGCGAGTTACAGCTTCCGATGTCTGAATCGGAATCTTCGTTTTCAAAGCTGAAAGTACGATCGTGCGGCTCGGCGCTCATAGGTGTGTAAGCGCCGTCGACGCTCTCGTCATCGCTCGACGAAGCGTAGCGCGATGAGCCGGCACTGGTCGCTACGGCCATTCGAGCGCCAGCTGTGGTGATTTTCGCTCGTGTGTGAACTCTCGCGACCTCTCGACGTGTGGTTGACGGAGTGGTCGTACTCAACGCCCCTATTTGCTGTGCTTTGAGACGCTCGTTGACAGAATCCTGACGATTGAAGACAGCAACCGCAGTCCCATCCGTCTCTTCGTCACTCCTATTCAAACTGTCGTCGAATCCGAATGAAGACGCACGAGAGTGTCCTCGAGAGCAAACGTCGGATCTTGAGCGAGAACGGCTTCGCACGAGACGATCAATGGCGCTGGCCGCGGCTAGTATGGTTTTTGTGTCGTGCGAAGGTATCGCTTCTTGCAGCGCGGCCTTCACGTCGCCGAAATCGATGTTGACGACTAAATCTCCTTCATCCACTTCTAAGGTTGGTGGCGTTGACGGATTCGTCGATTTTGATCGTCCAACTTGGACAATATCAGTCAGTCTGGAGCGAACCTCATCTTCTAATCTTCCTTCAAACGCTCCCAACTCGGCATCGTCGATACTGACGTCATCGTCGATACTGACGTCTCTGCTCAAGACTACCGTCTGTGTTGGCCGTACGGGCGTCCGGCTCCCACTCCCTGCCGTCGAGTTGAGCGTAGTATTTCTACTTATCATCTCCTTGCGTTCAACGGGACTAAGTCTCTTCACGACGCGCACGCGCTTAACGATCGATTGCGCCACTCGACGCAAGACGATCGTCCTATAGATCACCGAGCCCTCGTTGTCACCGTACACGCCCTCTGCCGATGCGCAAAAGCTAAATCGCTCTAAAATGATCGCCACGAATAGATTGCCCAAAAACAAAACGCATATGATGACGAATGAAATAAAGTAGACGATGGCGATGTAGTTAGGCTCGCACTTCACTCCGTTCGGTAGCGGCTCATTCCCGTAACACAGCGTGTCTACGTAAACATCGCTCAGATAGCCTTGCCAGTTTCCCGTGAAACACACGTAAAGCGATATCATCGCTTTGGGGAACGTTTTGAAATTTGAGTACTCGGACAGCGCTGCGCCTTCGTAGTCGGCTCGCATGTCGCCGAAGAAAGATACTCCTAGGCACGAGTAGATGTACATGAACAACATCGACAACATGGCTACGTTTATCACGCCAGGTACTGCCCCAATAAAAGTCGCCGACAGCGTTCGCAGCCCTTTACTCACTTGCACGACTTTGAAAAGTCTCAAAAACCTCAACATACGGAACATACCACCGATCCCAGATTTATAAACAGCCGGGACGACGAGACCGATTGTTCCTGATACGGCGACAATGAAATCCATTTTGTTCCAGCCGCTCTTCCAATAATTCCTCCATTTCATGGCGATTATTAGCAACGCGGCTTCGATGATATACCAAATCGATAACGCGTTTCCCATCCACAGTTGAAAATCTTCCTCTGGTTTTGACGCGCCTTCCCGAACCATCATCATTAGAACCATGTTCGATAAAATCATGATGACACAGACGGTGTCAAAGCTGTGTCTCGACACGATGTTATGAATTACTTGTTTCCACGCAGTCTGCGGCGGCTTTCTCCTCCACTCGTTGTCCACGTGCGTGATCGACAGAGCCATTGCCTGGTGCCAAACACGCTGCTCATCTGTCATGAGCGGGCTTTTCGCATTCTTACTTCGAGCCGACAGGCGATTGAAGTTGTCCACCAGAGCAGATATGAAGAGATTGGACCAGAGTAGGAAAGCGAAAAGTATGACGACAACGAAGTAGACTGCGGCCCACTTTGAATTTTCCCTCACTGGTTCCATGTCCACGCCGACGACGTCCATCGATTCGAACATGATATCCTGCCAATTGTCACCTGTCGACGCTATGAAAACGCTCAGTAGAGCTTCGAGGAAACTATCAAAATTGAACTCGGCTTTCCTCCACACCCCGCCGGCAGCGAGACACTCAGCCTTCGTTGCGACTGGCGCAGAAGTAAGAGTGCATCGATGCATCTTGCCCAGAAAGAGTTCCATGCCGAGCACACTTAGTATTGTCATCAAAGCAAGACCTATCACGCATACCGATCCAACGGCTGGAACGGACGACATGATGGTTTCAACGACAAGTTTAAGTCCTTTGATCCGATTCACCGATCTAAGAGGACGCAATATTCTCACGGTGCGCAGCGAGCGAATCGGAACGGCGGTTCCAAGGAAAATGATCAACCAAGAGCTTGCGACGACGAGTGCATCCATGCAGTTGAAGGATGATCGAAAGTACGCGCCGTGTGCGCTCCAAGCTCCGAGTGCGTAAAGTTTCAGACACATTTCCACCGTGAAGCATGCGTTGAACATGATATCTAGCGATTCGTACACATGCGCGGTTTGTGAGCCTTCTTCCGGGAACGTGTGCGTCTCGGTTGCCAATAGAGCAGACGACACGATTATCAAAAGCAGGATCACGCCATCGAACCAAGGTTGTTTCGTTAATCTCAGAACTTTGAGTCTTGTCTGAATGTGCACGCTTTCATCCTCGGCATCAATGTCGTAAAATGACAGGGCTATCTTGAAGTTGTCGTCAAGTACGAAAGCTTCTAGCTCTCTACCTGCCTCGGCGAGCTCATCTGTCACCTTCACGCTTGGTGCCGCGTACAGAGCGTGTAAAGGAATGTCATCGGCGTGCAGCATGGCGAGATCCACACCCGCGTAGAGATCGTCCCCCCTGTTGATGATGCACCGAAGACTCAGTTGTTGCAAACGGTCGCGCAATCGCGAGGCGCTGTCATCAATTCTCATACTACTGCGCTCCATCAGTTGAGCTCGCTTCATTTGATAGAGCTCGTGTCCTTGAGAAAGCCTCGCGCGAGCCTTCTCGACTGCTTGACGGCGCATTCCCCGCGCAACCTTGAGCGAACGCTTGGTGTGTTGTTCGTATCCTAGAGAGATCAACCAGTGTCTTACGACGGCGACTTCGTGCACGAGACGCATTCGATGGAGCTTTGCCTGGCGTTGTTCTCTCCACTGCAGAGGATTGAGACCTAAACCGCCGAAGTGCGAACCGTGAGCGTCGTCTTCTTCCTTCAAGTCGTATGCATCCGATAGTTCATCCTCGCTAGCGCTGTCACCTTGCTTTTCACTCTTGGACAACATCTCCTTGTACTCTTTCGCCGCCTTAGAAATGAACCACGACGGGATATCCCGCGTATTGAACCCATATTCTTCAGCCAACGAACAGGTGAACTTGTGTAGTCTTACGTCACCACCTGATTGTATCATTAACTCATCCATATCAATCGGTTCATCATCTTCGGTGACGCTTTCAATCAGAATACCGAGAACCACGGAGAGGATTGACGTTGTGATAAGACACCAGACAATCATGTATATCCCCGCAGGATGTCCAGCGGCTTGCATGATTGACCATGCGACTTCGAACGTATTCTCCCCCGTGCTGACGACGAAGAGTGTCAAACTTGAACTCGCAAAGTCCCGAAAGTTCAACCTCTCTTCGTCAATATTACCCTTTGCCGAGAAAAGCTGGGTCCCTAAGATGGCAAAAATCGACAGGCATAGCGCCCAAACCAACAGAAACACCCACATCCGCTGCGTACCACTTATGATGGCGCGTATCATCTTACGGAAGCTCTCGGATCTTCGGAATACACGCGCGACTCGAAAAAGTCTGAGAATGCGCATAATTCTCAGGAAAGAAACGTTCACGCCGGTCGCCCCTTGTGCACTCATGATCATGTCAACGCATCCGGACAGCACGACGGCGCCGTCCAGTCGATTCCAACTTCTGGCCCAGTAAGTACGCATCCCGAGCGCGACGTGTTTTATCATGAGCTCACTGCAAAAAATGGAAAAGAAGACGTATTCCGCGTTCGATCGGAACGCTTCGAGCTCCGCGTTCGCTTCGGCGGTGCGTGTCATCATCGCCACGACGTTGCAAAAGATTGACAAGTTTATGAACATTTCGAACCGCTCGTCGGCGACGAGTGAGATCGCCAGCAGCTTCAATCTCCCAAAGATTCCTCGCGTTTCATCCCAATCGTAATCAGTCGGTGACTTGAGCACCGAGACGGCCTCCCAATCAGCAACTTTAACGCTCTCACCAGTCGCACTCGCCATCGTTTCATTGACAGAGCGTTCGAGCGCGGTACACTTAACTTCTGCATCATTCTCCGCCTTCTCGTCTTTTATATCCGACAGAGTTGCACAAATCACGGAGGTAAATAATTGAAATACGAAGAAGCCTCCTAATAACACGACCGACGCGTAGAACGCAAACGCGGGAACTACACCCACAGTCCGGGCGGTCGTCCATGCGATTTCGTTCCACCCATCGATCGTCATCGTCTGAAGTACGACGAACATACCGCGGCCAAAATCGTCAAAGCTCACGAAACCGTCGACGGGCGACGTTCCTGAGTGGCAACAGTAAACTTGCGAACCGTTCACGCTTCGCAGCAACGTGTTCTCGGACTTGTGAGCGCACATGTCGAGGTCGGACGGATACGATGGGTTTTCACCGGTGGCTTGAACCGAGTTGGAATACCCAGCGACGAGATTCGCGCAAATTTCTGTCGTTGACGCGTTCGCTGCAAAGCCTGAACCGACGTACTCGCGAGAGCTCGTGTTCCCAGCAAACGAGAGCACCCCGATCACGGTACACATGATGACGAACCACGACATGAAAATGACGACGTCCATCAGCAATGGGACGGATTTCTCAATCGTCACGAACACTATTCGACCCGATTCGAACTTGCTCAACGCCCTGAACGGTTGAAGTGCGCGAAGTATTCGCAACGTGCCCACGCCACTCGACCCCGCCGTGCTTAAATCTATCACCCCCACGGCGACGACGATGAAATCGAAAATATTACTGCGATCTCTGAGATACGTCCCAGGCCCTATGACGAATCCGTGAGCGATGATCTTTGCCAACGCCTCAAACCCGAAGACGAGCACGAAGCCGACGTGCACGGCGAAAGAACCCCCCTCCGTGAGCGGCGTGGATCCGCCTCTCGCCTCGTACGCGCGATCGGGTAGTTCCATCGCCAGCACGACGGCGTTAAAAGCGACCACGGCGAGGATGAAGGCTTGGAAAAGCGAATGTTCCACCAACCGCGCGCATCCCCTCCGCGCGAGCGACCCCTCGCCGAAGCACAACAAGCTTCGTTCGTCCTCGTACACGCGGTCGTACAACCCACGGGCGAAACCCATCGCCCTGTGCGAAATCGTTTTCGGTCTCGACGTCGACGTCGCGCCCTCGCTCGTGTTTTCCACCTCGCTCGCCCTCGCCTCCGCGACGTCCCACGTCTCCAACGCCCGTTCGATCGGGGACGCGCGCGCGCTCCCGGATCGAACCTCCATCGCGCCCGACGTCACCGCTCGGTGTCGACGCCGATGACGTCACCGCTCGACGTCACCGCTCGGCGCCGCTCGGCGCGGTCGGCGCGACCGCCGTCGTCCCGCCCGTCGCGCGCCTACGAATCCTCCGACAGGTCGCCGCCCGTCACGGCGTGTGCGTCGTGGCGCGTACGTACAATGTACGGTACACTAGGTCGGACGACCCAGTCATTTGGTCGCACGCGCCTCGGTCGCGTCCATCACCGTCGATGGGTGGTGATGGCGATTCAAATCACAAAGTGTCGGGTGGTGATTTAGATGGTGATCGTGATTTTACCCAACCGAGTCGTGTGCGGACCCGGCTGTGACCTCGTTAATACATCCCACACAGAGCACGCGTGCGTGAAGTACGAGACCCGGCCCCCGACGTGGGCTCGCGCCGACGCGAGGTGACGACGCCGGCGCGCGAGCGCGCACGCGGCACCGCGCGGTGGTCTCGAGCGACCGAATCGGCGAGGCGTCGCACGGCGACGACGATCGCGACGCCCCGAACGCGCCGACGACGCGAATCGACCGCGCGCGCGCGCGAACCGACGCACACGGCGTCGATCGCGAGATCGAACGCGACATGGCGCGCGACGCGTCGCGCGGCGCCCTCATCGTCACCGCGTGGTACGCCGCGAACATCGGCGTGCTGCTGCTGAACAAGTACATCTTATCCGTCTATGGGTTCAAATTTCCCGTCTTCATGACGTTGTGTCACATGTGCATGTGCTCGGTGCTCTCCGCGACGGCGCGAGAGTTTAAAATCGTCCCCAAGCAGTTTATTCGAACGCGACGACACTACGGGAAAGTGGCGGTGCTCGCGATGACGTTCGCACTGAGCGTCCTGGGCGGAAACGTGTCGCTGAGATACATTCCGGTGAGCTTCAATCAAGCGCTGGGGGCGACGACACCGTTCTTCACCGCTATTTTCGCGTACCTCATGTTGCACAAAAAGGAGAGTACGGCGACGTACATGACGCTCGTTCCCGTCGTCGGAGGGATCGCGCTCGCGACGTGGGGGGAGCCGAGTTTTAACTTTTTCGGTTTCATGGCGTGCCTCGTCGGCGTGTGCTGCCGGGCGCTCAAGAGCGTGCTCCAAGGGTGGTTGCTCTCTCCAGTGGGGGAGAAAGAGGCGGAAAAGTTATCGCACTCGAGCGAGAACAAGTTGGATAGCATGAGCTTGCTCTACTACATGAGCCCGGTGGCCATCATGACACTCGGTGTCTTTACGTTAATCATGGAGCCTAACGCGATATCCGCGTTTTACGAAGCCGCTGAGCTCGATCCATGGTTCATTGCGATTCTTTTAGGAAATTGTTTCGTCGCGTACCTCGTAAACTTGACGAATTTTCTGGTGACGGCGCACGTCGGCGCGCTCACACTTCAAGTACTCGGTAACGCAAAGGGTGTCGTGTGCACAGTGGTCAGCATCATGCTGTTCCGGAATCCCGTGACGTTTCGGGGCATTGTGGGATATACCGTCACCATGATCGGCGTCTGGCTCTACTCGTCGAGCAAACGCAAAAGCGCGCGACTGGCGAACGCGCTCATGGAAAACGCGAAGACGGGTGTGTAGGAGTGTAGCAGTGCGAGTGCGCATTTTCAATGCCGAAATTGAATTCTAGAAACTAAACAGAGAACTAAGCAGGGAGGGTTCGCTTGACGTGAGCTCGTGCGCCAACCACTCCACTGCGGGTCTCAACCCGAGACCTGTGTTCGCGTTGACGGCGAGAACGCGCCGTGAGCGCTTCGAAGCAGTCCCGTCGACGCGCGCGAAGACGTCGTCGCACGACGCGCGAACCATTTCCAACCCCTCCGGACCACTCAGGTCGCTCTTCGCGCTGAGGACGAGCACGGGCATGGCTTTACCAAACTCGGCGTTGCGAAGCGCGCGCTCGAGCTCGACCATGGACTCCTCGAGACTGCCTTCGTCAGCCCCGTCGACGACGTACGCGCACGCGTCGGCATCCTTGAAGTAGCTCTCCCATATCCCCCGCAAACCGAACGCCCCACCGAGGTCCCAAAATATCAGTTCCACCGGTAAATTCACCCCCGCCGGCGCCTTGGCGATGTTCATCCCCACGGTGGAGATGATTTGCTCTGGTCGCAAGCCTCTGGTGCTCGCTCCGTAGACATCCTTGACGCGCTCGACGACGCTCGTCTTCCCCGCGCCTTGGATTCCGAGCACGACCACCTTTTTCGGTGACGCGTATCCCAGCATCGCGCGCGAACGCCCGAGCTCGAGCGTCCTCGGTGCGTCGTCGTCTCACGTCGCGGTCGACCCGACCGTCATCGCGTTCGTCTGCTCGGTCGCGTCGCGCGCGCGCGCTCGATCGATCGTCGCTCGCGTCCGTCCGTCTCCGAGTTCTCGTCACTCGCGCGCGCTCGACGACGACGCGTGGACGACGACGAATGGACGAATGGCCGACGACGAATGGCCGACGACGAATGGCCCGTCGCATCGCGTGAGGTGTACATTCACATTCATCCTCGAAATCACCGCCGAGTACGATATCCTCGAGCGTTTTTCTCAAACGCTCGACTCGCACTTATCACGCACGATGATTTTGATGATATCGCTAAACTACGCGACACCCCCGCGCCCCGCGCCCGGCGCCCGGGGGGCTCGTCGCGCGCGATCGCGTCGATGCGCGCGCGCGCGTCGCGGCACACCGACGCGCGCGTCCACGTCTCGCCATGTCTTTCACCCTCTCGACGAGCCAAAAACTCGGCTGCACGCGCGTCGCGAAGACGACCGCGGTGGCCAAGCGCCAAGGCGTCTCTCGCGTCGTCAAGGCTGCCGCGGCGTCCGCGGACGTCCCGGACATGGGCAAGCGCAACGTCATGAACCTGTTGCTCGTCGGCGCGATCGGTCTCCCGGCGACCTCCCTCATCGGTGGTTACGCGTACTTCTTCGTCCCGCCGAGGTACGTCTCAGCGCATCGACGTCGATCGCGCGACGCGAGCGCGCGTGGAAACTTTATCTTCGATCGATCGCGATGGCTAACGTTAGGGTCAGTCTGATCATTATCCACTTCGGTGGCAAAGCGATCGGTCGTCCGACGCGTGTGAACGCGATCGAGAGCCTCGAGAGGGGTACACGAACGTCGTGAAAGCGTGATCGATCATCGCTCGCGTGCGAAACCGTCGGCGGCGCCAGCGTCGGCGTTCGCGGGGACTTTTCCAGCGCTCGAGAATACGCGCCGCGAATCTTGTACAAAGAACGTGTGGACTGACCATTGAACGCTTGTATTTTCCCCATAACAGTGCCGGTGGTGGCGGTGCTGGTCAACCGGCGAAGGATGCTAACGGCAACGACATCAAGAAGGCGTCGTGGTTGAAGACGCACCTTCCGGGTGACTATTCGTTGACCCAAGGTTTGAAGGGTGACGCCACGTACTTGATCGTCAAGGCGGACGGTTCCCTCACGGATTTCGGCTTGAACGCGGTGTGCACGCACTTGGGTTGCGTCGTCCCGTGGAACAAGGCTGAGAACAAGTTCAAGTGCCCGTGCCACGGCTCCCAGTACAATGCCGACGGTAAGGTGATCCGCGGTCCGGCTCCGCTCTCCTTGGCTCTCGCGCACGTCGTCATTGACGGCAACGACACGGTTACCTTCACCCCGTGGACGGAGCAAGATTTTAGAACGGGACTTCAGCCTTGGTGGAAGTAAACAAGAGGGAACAAACGCGCCTTTTTAGACATGTGAATGATTACGAATATTTTCGAAGCTCCCTCGAGACGCATCGTTCGCGCCGCCAAAATCTTCGCTACAATCTAACACTCTTCGCGCCCTCACACGTCTTCCTCTGAGGAAAGATCGGAGGCATCGTCTGCTATCAGACTGTCCCACTTTGCATTGGTTGTTAGCGCTTTCGCCCTCTTAGATGCTGTCCCGCGCAGGACCGCCTCGCGCACGCGCGCTCCCGTCGCCTGGTGCTCGTCATCGAGACGCCTCTTCGTCGATTCTGCACTTTCATTCCGCACCTCCAGCGTCGCCCGAGCTGCGAGAATACGGTTCCTGTTTAAATCTAGCAACACACATTCCTCAGTGCACCCGCACTCGTCTAAAAGTGCGCCGCTCAGTTTGACGCGCGCGCTCGAGCTCGAGCTCGAACTCGAGCTCACGAAAAGGTCCATCGAACGAGAAATCTCCTCGATCACCGCCGAGAACGACCGTTCGCTGACGACACCGAGATAAACTGCTCGCTCTGGGATCGCATACTCAGATTCAGCGCTTCTGTCTCCTAGAAACACCCGCACCGCGCCTTGGTCAAGCCACGCGTCTCTTCGCGCCGCGCCGCCCACGCGCGTCGTCAACTTTTTCTTCTTCGTCGGCTCGAACGCGATCGGTGCGTCGATCGAGAGTACCTTTCCACCTTCTATCACGCGCACCGCGCCTCCCTCGTACGATTTCCCCGATATCGGTCGTTCCTCTAACGCGCGCGCGTCCTCGAACCAATCGAGCGCGCGCGCCGCGTTCGCCGTCGCGTCCCTCTCCCGCCTTCCGTACGCGATCACCACCGCCGTCGCGCGTCCATCGCTCTCGATGTCAAAGAACACCGCGGACGTCGTCGCTTTCGTCGCCCGTCGCACGCGTTCGGCGTCGTCTCGCTCGCCCTCGTCGTCATCCGTCGTCGTTAACTTTCCACCGCGCGTCACGACGAAACCATCCGCCGGCACGCGCTCCGTCGCCGTCGACGCGAGAACGTCGTCGACGATCGCGATCCCTCGACGATCGACCCCCTTGGCGCACGCGTCGAACTTGGTCATGTCCTCGAGCGCGTCGCTCGGTGGCGGTGGTGCATCGTGGACGACCGGCGCGACCACACTCGCGCGCGCGCGCGTCGGGAGCGACCGCGAGGGCGATGGACGACGCGACGGATGGGTCCACGCGCGTCGTCGAGGTCCCTTCGAACGGAGAGATAGCGCGCCTGACGGCGAGCGCGAGCGCGAGGGCGAAGGAAGACGCCGCGGAGGCGATCGTGGTGACGACGGCGACGAACGCGACGACGCCGTTCGAGTCCGTGGACGACGTCATCGCGCGATTGATGCCGTTTCACGCGTTCGCGGGACCGGAGGACGCGGGTCTGGACGAAGGAACGACGGAGACGACGCCCGAGCGAACGCGACGCGGGAAGACGGGAGAGGAGGGCGAAGAAAAGTCAGAGGTCGAGGCGTCGACGAGCTCGAGAGGCGATCGAGGAGGCGACGCCGAGGGACGGAGACTCGGTCGCGAGGCGTCGTGGAGGCGAGACGCGGAGGCGTTCGCCAAGGACGCGGCGGCGCTCGGGAAACGAGCGCGCGCGAAGCTCTCGAGTCGACGGCGGTCGACGGACGCGTCGACGGACGCTTTGGACATCGACGAGCGGGCGTTGATCGAGCGATTGGCTTGGGATCACGCCCGCTCGCACCTGAGATTGGAGCAAGCGCACCGCTCGTTAGCCGTGCACAGATTCGTAAAGCTCGAGGCGGACGTTCGCTCGCGCGAACTCCAGCTTCGCGCGTATGAACGTCCGCGACACGCCCAGGGAACGGATTCGGGCGTGTGCACCGAGCGATGACGCGCGCGACGTCAACACGCGCGTTCATAGGGCGTAACCAGTGCCGACGACGCGTTCATAGGACGTAGCCAGTAGCCGTCACGCGCGTTCCTCCGACGTCGCCGGCGCCGACGACGCCTCGGGCGGGTGTAAAAAAGAACAAAACATCGATCGATCGCGTGAAAAACGCGGGATTCGTCACTTTTTCGCGCCATGGAGTGATTCATGGTCGAATCGACCGCACAGTACGACACGGACACCCGAGACGCGCAACCGTCGGACGCGCCGACGCGGACGCGACGCCGCGTCGTCGCGTCGATCGCCGTCGCGCGCGTCGATCGCATCGCTCGCGCGCGGGCGACGGGCGGAAAGACGGCGCGACGCGTGATGCTCCAACGCGCGCGCGCGGTTCCCTACCCCGTGGGCGCGCGCGGAGACGCGGAGACTCGACGAAGGGGGAGACATCGCGCGCGCCCGACGTCGCCTCGGCGCATCGACGACGCGCGGGTGGTGACGTCCAGGGCGTTCGCGGCGACGATCGCGCACGCGCCGTACGCGGGAGATGACTACACGATGGAGAGCATCGTACGGCTCAAGCGGCCGCCGCCGAAGACGAGCGTCGAGAGAGCGGCGCCTTTACGGTTACTCACGAGCTATTCGAGCGTCGTCGAGGCGCTGCGAAAGGAGTTAGACACGACGCAGGCGGGAGACGTCGTGAGGTTTAGCGTGTACGTGTTCGAAAGTGGAAAGAGTTCAGACGCCGTCATCGCGGCGATGAGGCGGGCGGTCAAGCGAGGGGTGACGATTAGGTGCGAGATAGACGGGTCGCCGGTGAGCAAGTTTACGAGATGGTGCGAGCAAAGCACGACTCTGACGGATGAGTTACAGGCGCTCCAGTGTGAGCTCGGGAGGGAGCGGTTCTCCTTTAAGCCCGTAAAACAGGCGTCGCACGCCAAGTTCATGATTGTGCAGCGCAAGCGAGGCGGCGGTATGCCCTCCATTATCTTTGGCGGCGTGAACATAGGTGACAGATTTTCGCACTGGCGGGACTTCGCGATTCGGGCAGAGGGTCAAGCCGTCGTAGACGCCTTGAGAGCCACGATGAGGCGATCTTCATCGACCGTCGCGAGCGATACGGCCGATATCGTCTTTGCGAGTAACGTCCCGACGGGATTTTGCCCCATGGCGTGGACGTTTCCGAGATACTTTCGGTTTCCCGGGAGATTTGACATACAACGAGCGATGACGGATTTACTCGAAGACGAGCGCTACACCAGGTACTACGTCGCCATGGCTTACATAGATTCGATGGGGGTCGACTTATTGGCGAGCACACTTCGCCGAGACAACACAACGCTCACGCTCGTCGTGCCAAGAACTCCAAACGTGTATCACGACGCCAATCGCAAGGCGCTCGGGCGACTGATCAAAGCCAACGACGGGAGAGAGGATAATCTGAAAATACTTTTGTTGGACGACATGCTTCACGCCAAGGCGTTCCACGCTGAGAGTGACGACGATTCGATACCGGCGGTGGGTATGATTGGGAGTTGCAACCTGAAGCAGCGCTCTCTCGGGCAGTTTGTTGAACTTAACGCGACGATTCGTCAGCCCGCGCTCACCATGGCGCTGCGGAGGCATCTGCGCGAACTCGCCCACGAAGCTTCGCCACTCAGCGCGGACGATTTGCGGTATCAGGAACCAAAAGCGACGATCGAGGAGTGGCTAGGATGAGCTCGATCGTGATGTTGTAACCGTACCGTACGGTATGTTGTAAACACGTATTATTAGAGGCGCAGAGCGAGAATTCGGACCACCGCGCGCTCAAATATCGACAATCACGAATAACTCCGCGCGATGACCCTCCGCGTCAGTAGATGTCTCGCGCTCTATTATTTTCATAGCGCTGTACGTGATGGCCTTAATCTCCGTCCCTTGACGCGTTTGTCCGTCCACGAACGTCGTCCCACCGACGACGGCGCGAATCGTCCACGCGTCCCGGTTAAACTCGCACACCTGCACTGCGGTGCAGATTAACATCTCGGTGTGAAACGTGAACAACAATTCGTCCAAGAACGCGAATAGAAGTGTGTCCAAGTCGTGTCCGCTCGCTCGTATCTCCCTGTACCTCATCTGTGGCGCCCCGACGCAGTCCTCGAGCGGCGTCATGTAATCGAACATTCCGAGCGCCGCCCACGCGTACGCCTCGGCGAGATCATCCCCCCACGCGTGAATCTGTATGTCCGCCGTGTGATCCTTGTACTCGTACTTCACTCCTCGTCTCGCTCTGATCTCATCTTCGCTCTCCTCGGCGCGCGTCTCCGCCTCGGGACCTCCGTCTTCGCGTTCCGGCGCGTACCGCGTCACGCGCGCGATCGGCTCGAATCCCTCCCTCGCATCCGCCCGCGCCCCTCCGCTCTCGCCCTCGTCTCCACCATCGCGTTCGGACGTCGTCCGCGTCTCCGCTCCATCGCTCCCGTCCCGCCGTCGTCGCTTCGCTCGCGGTTCTCGTTTCGGCAACACCTCGTGCGCGACGCCCTCGAGCTCGGTGGTCGGCATCGCGCCTCGACGCGCGCGCGTCGTCGTCGACCGTCGTCCTCGCGCGCCGCGCGTCGTCGTCGACCGTCGTCCTCGCGCGCCGCGCGTCGTCGTCGACCGTCGCCGTCTCGCGCCGCGCGCGCGGACGTCACTGTGCGCGGTGGCGCGTCGTCGAGCGCGCGCTGGACCATGCTGGACGCGGGCGGGGCGGACGCGGGCGCGCGCGCGCCTCGAATCTCCCTGCGCGCGCTCGACGACGGCGACGCGCGGGAGGTCGAGCGCCTCGGTCGAGCGCTCGTGGGTGATTTAGGATGGTTCGAGCTCGATTGTCGAGGGGCTCGGTGGGGCACGAACGTGCTCGAGCGCGCGTACGAGGCGTCGAAGGCGTTCTTTAATCTGAGCGATGCGACGAAGTCGACGTACGTGCACACGCAGTACGCGAACGAGAGCGGCGGGTACGTGCCGATGTTCGAGGAGTACGCCTATCGCGCCGAGACGGCGGCGAGACTGGAATCGTTCGATGTCGCGAGGGAAATAGAGAGCGCGGAGGCGCGAGAGGGCGTGCGGGTAGAGAGAGGGAGGGAAAAATCGGTGGGCCTAGGACCGGTGGATTGGCCGGTGGAGGTACCGGAGATGCGAACGGCGTTACGGGATTTCCGGCTCGCGTGCGACGAGACGGCAAAAATACTTCTTCGCTCGTTCGCGCTCGCGCTGAAGATGGACGACGAGGATGTATTCCTCAGAGAATTTGGTGATTATGCGCACTGTTTCATGCGAGTGATGCGGTACCCCGCTGAAGAAGCATCAACGTCCACGTCAACAGTTTGCGCTGACGACTCCAAGAGACGCGCCACGAAGCGCCATCGACGAGACGGAAAAGTTGAGATTGTCGGCATTGCCGAGCACACCGATTTTGAATTTTTCACTCTTTTGCATCAAACGTGCGAGGGGTTGGAATTGCGCGCGAGGAAGGACGGCGCGTGGCATTTAGCGGCGGCTTACGGCGAAAAGCATGAGGCGATTTTCACGGTGATCCTTGCGGACGCCTTTGAAATACTCACAAACGGTGTCGTCCGGGCGACGCCGCATCGCGTACGACCATCTAGCGTTAAAGATAGATACTCGCTCGTTCGGTTCAATGGATTGAACCACGACGCGAAGATAGCGCCATTGCCGTGTTTTGGCGAGCCCAAGTTTGCGCCCAGAACGCAGGGCGATCACGTCGGTGAGCAAGTCTCCAGGGCGGCGGATAATTTGGGACAAATGCTGCAGAACGGGACTTTCCCGAAATCAACGCTCACTGAACCGCCGAAGCGTTTCGCACAGATGATTGTCTTGGATGTCGTCAATAGACGAGTGCTATTGGGTAAACATCTGCGGGGTGAGTTCGAGAATCGTTACACCGGTTTCATCGCTTCAGTAAATCACGAAGAGGAACTCACACCAATCGATGTCGCGAGAACGACTGCGCTGTTGGGTGCGGGTCTGAATCCTTTGGCGTGCGATGCACTCACGGGATCTGACCTCGTGGAAGTTGGACGCTTCGTCTTTCGCGGGTGGATAGACAACGCCGTCGCTATCGAGCACGAGTTCGTCGCGGCGTTTCGTCGCGAGAGTGACTTGCGAGAACTCTTCGCCTCAACGGAGCTGACTTCTGACGTCGCGGTAACGTACCACTGGTTTGATTTAGATCAAATTCCATACGATGAAATGCCCGAGGACGATGCGGTGTGGTATCCTTGCTGTCTCGCTCGTTGGGTGGAGGAGGGCGCAGCCGAGGGAATCAAGCCGAGGGAATCAACGCAACTTCACATTGGTCACTTCGAATTCGATCGAGACACCGGCGAAATGACCGGTAGTGAAATTCGTAAAGTGACTTACGTGCAGCCAACTTTCGTGGCTGTTCGTCGCCTGCTCGATCGCAAAAATTAACATTGTAACGGACCGCGCTCGAGCTCTAGGACGCCACTACGCGTCGCGCGCCATCTTCATGACGGCGCTCATCGATCAACAGCGCGCCGCGAGCGCCCAGCGCGGGTATCTGTTGTTCTTCTTGTTCTTCTTCCTGCTCATGACCGCGAACGACTTCACGCCGGCGCGGACGAGAAGGAATCAACGAGCGAGTTCGAGGACGCTGGGGGAGAGCGCTTCGACCGGAGACGACGCGCGCGCGCCGACGAGGAAGGAGGAAGTGAGGGATAAGGTACGATAATGAGTATCACAGTGGATGTTTCGACGCGCGTGAGGGATAGAGTCGCGCGAATCGGTGACGAGAGAGACGAGAGAAGATGATCAACGCCGAGGGCCGTAGGGTGGAGGGCGCCGTCAATAATCGTGGAGTTACCAAGTTGCCGACAGTGAAGATTTTCCGAGACGAACCGTGCAAAAATGCGAGAGAGGGCGCTGACTGACGATGCGTTTGATCGTTCGAACCGAAAAGGTGATCATAGATCTGAGCGAGTCCAACGCGAGGCTCGAGTCGGAGAACAGACGGCTTCGGGCTTCAGCTGTTGGGTTACGCGAGGCGTTGAAGAAACGTGGCGGCGAGGTGGAGGCGAAAGAGATTGATGAGGCGTATAATTTGACGTCGCTCACTGTCTCAGACGCGCGGACGCCGCAGCTACGCGGTAGGGACATCGAAGGGAAACTAGTCGAGGAGGAGGCGGATGGTGTTCGTAAAACAGTCGCAGCTTCGCGTAGACTACTGCGCGAGCGCTTCGGCTCGACGCCGGCGTAGTCCTCACGTCACCACTAGAGCTACTCATTAGGGCTTAGAATTGTATTGGTGCTGTACAACATCTCGCGAATCGTCGCGCCAGTCACGAGTGCGCGAAAGCTCGTTGAGTAACCGACTGAGAGACGCGCATCACACGGCGCCGTTCGCCGTGGTCTCACGATGCTCGCGCGCTTGAACACGAGCGCGACGTCGACGTCGACGACTTTGATCGCGTCTCGACGTCGCTCCGCGACGAAGGCGACGACGACGGAGCGATCGACCGCGAAGCGCTCGTTCGAAGCATACCGGGCGATCGCGCCTCTTGAGCGCTCGAACGTGGGTCCGCGCGCGCGAAGGGCCATCGCGCGAGCGGGGAGGCGGCAACCGCAGGAAGGCGATAGGGTCGGCGATCGCGAGGACCCCGATCTCTACATCGGAACATACAGTACCTTTTGGAGCGATCCCAAGCAGCTCCAGGGCGTGGCCATCTTTTGCGCGTTTTTGCTCTCTTTCTTCTCGCTGGGCAACGTCGGTGCGGCGCTGATTCTCCCCATTCTGTACGGGACGGATCAAGGTCTCGGAGACTTTTGCATTCAGTCGCTGTTGTTCGGATACTATTGCAATTGATTAAAAAGCATGAAACTGTGGAGCAAATAATAGGTAGCGCGCGCGCGTAGTGTAATTCTATGTGTGTTCAATCGTGCATCAAATGAGCGCTCCTCGATGAGCGACTTCATACGGCGTCAATAATGGCATCGCTCAAAAGATGTCCCGCCGAGTGGCGGCGGCAATGTGAGCTGAGGCTAAGCGAAGCTCAGCGCATGCTCTTGACGGACGCACGCCGCTTCGCCTGAATCCCCGCGTTCTCGGCCCCGCGCGCACATTCACCTACACCCTCGATGTGATCAAACAATATCTGAGCGCCCACGCGGCTCTGCGCACAAAAATACATTCGACAGTCAGTCGCTTGTTCGAACGCTCACAAAAAGTGAGTCGCGCTTTCCTCAAGACGTTTGCGCGCACCTTCTTCATCGCCGATTTTCCCGCTAGGGTGTATCTCCCCGGAGTGAGTTTATTCTGTGTGTGTTGAATCATTCGAACGCGCGTCAGTCACCCCTCGATCTCTCTCTTCGTTCTCTTCGCAAGCTTGCTCACGCGTTTGCGCTCGTTTCAAATTCAACTTGAGCTTCTACGTTCTTCGTCTCGCGACGCACCGGCGTGACGTATTTAGGAGTGATATCCGCGAGCGGCGGTCTACTGGGTGTGCATTTCTCTCGCACGGGCGTCGCGAACGGTTTCCTCGCCGTCATCGCCGTCGCGGGATCAACGTTCTCTTTGTCCATCAGGCCGGCGTTTGTAAATTTGATTCGAAGCGCACGTCCCGTGTCTTCGGCGTCATCGCGCGCACGTCTCGGCCGATCGCCGCTCGGCGAGGCGTAGCTCAGGACGACCATTTTCTCGCGGTCGTCCGTGCGAATCGCCGTGAGCATGCGCACCGAAGTGCGGTCGGGTTCGTCGTCGCCGACGTCGACTCGTTCGAACGCGCAAACCGAAAATTCCCGCGCATTTTTGGGCGGGAAATCAGTCAAAATGGCGATTTGAATCGGCACGACCGGTACCTCTCCACACGGAACGCAGATAGATTACAAACTCAAGTACAACGTACAGCGACCACCGCCCATCATCCATACATGTCACGCTCGAGCTGCGCCAAAAGATCGTCCTGATGATCGCGCACCCGGCCGGGTGGAGCTCGGCCGGGATCTCGGTATCCTTCGTAACCAAAAGGTTCCCGAGGCTGTTCTCTGTGTGACATTCCCGTAACGGCGGGGTTCCCGTAGTATTGCGGCTGTTCGCGCTCTTGGTGGTGACTTTCATCGGCATGACGATGATGACGTTCACCTCGGCGACGATCGCGGTCACGCTGACCATCTTTGTGACGATGACGACGATCCGCATGACGATGATCCTCACGATGATGAGCCTCACGATCGCGATGATGACGATCACGATGATGACGATCCTCACGTCGCTGATCGTTACCTTCGCGATCGTCGCGACGATGGCGGATTCGATGTCTACGATTGTCACCGATACCAGTACCTGGCTCCTGTTCGGATTTGCGTTGGGGCCGCGTCTCCTCCGTCGTCTTCAAATCTTCCGTGAGTTCACGGCCCCTTCTCTTCTGAGCTGGATCGACGCGCTTCGCCAGACTCTTCACTAATCTATTATTGCCGAGCATGGCGAGCACCTTGTTGAGATGACCACTTTCCTTGAGCTCCTCTTTCAGTTTCCAGCACGGTTTGGCGTACTTCTCCATCGCCGTCCACAGCTCGAAAGCCGGGGCGAGGATGTGCGTCAGGTTTGCGGAGATGACCTTGAACTCATCGATGGTAATATTACCATTCTTGTCCATATCCATGTCCTCCAGGATTCTCTTCAGCCCCTTCACCTTGACTTTCCTACCCATGCGACCGCTCATGACGACTCTGTCCCCTATGGTGTCACCCGGCGTCGACGCGTGTTCCTTGCCCGCGTTGTACCCATTCGCGCTCCCGGTGTAGCTCAACTCGTTTTTCGCGATATTTTCGAATTCGTCGATCGTCAGTGACCCACTGTCGTCCTGATCGAAGAGTCGCCATGAGAAGTACAGGTGCGCCGACGCGCTTCCGCCGTAGAATTGCGCCAGGCACAAGACGAATTCCAGCGCCCCGATGTCGCCGTCTCCGCTCACGTCGAACAGCGCGAGCATGCGAGGTAAGAACGCGTTCGACGCTCTCAAACCGAACATCGAGGCGAACTCTCGCAGACCGATCGTCCCGCTTCCGTCTTTATCCGCTCGCCAAAAGACTCGCAGCGCATCGTTCACGCTCGACCGCTCGCATCCATACTTCACCAGCTGGTCCGCGAGACGACTGAGCTCACCGCCCTCGGGCGGTGCGTCCTCGACGCTCGCACACGCCCCCATGCGACGACGACGACGACGACGACGTCGATGACGTCGACGACGACGACGACGACGACGGACGTGACACGATCGGACGCCGACGATGTCTCGCGTCAACCTCCGGGGCGGTCGGGCCCGCGCCCCGAGTCGGGGCAGTGTCTAAACCCTAGATTACCTCCGTCTGATGGAAAGGCTCGGCTCTTTCCTATATCACCGTCGCCACCGACCGCCGCGCCCGAGTCGGCCCATCGCCCGAACGCCTCGACGCGTTCGTCCGCCGTGGACGCGCGCCGGTGGCGTTCACGGCGGGCGCGTCGCGGTGATGCCGGCGCGCGCGACGGTGGGCGAGGACGGACGCGTCGCCGCGACGCCGACGGTGTACGGGCTCAATCTCCCCTCGACCACGGGACGGGTGACGACGGGGACCGGGACGGGGGAACGACGACGCGCACCGCCGCCCAAGGCGTTCGGATTCGACGACGACGAGGACGAAGACGAAGACGATGATGACCCGATCAAGGCTCGAGCGCGGGCGAACGCGGAGATCGCGCGTCAACAGGAACACTTGGCGAAGAGACGCGCGCGGGACGCGGAGGACGCGCGCGCGCGCGCGAGCGAGGCGCTGAAGGAAGACGAGAACGCGTTCGAGTACGATGCGGTGTACGATGAGATCGAGGCGTCGAGAGGGAAAGCTGCGCAAGGCGTCAGGGACGAGCGTGTGGAGCGAAAGTCGAGATATATAGAGGACTTGATGGCAAAGGCGGCGGCGAGGAAAAAGGAGAGCGACGCGTCGTACGAGCGACGTTTGCTAAAGGAGAGGTTGAAGGAGGATCATCTGTACGCCGATAAGGATAAATTCGTCACCGCTGCGTACCGAGCGAAGTTACAGGAGGATGCAAAGTGGTTGTCGGTGGAGAAGGCGCGCGACGCGATCGAGGACGAGGAGGATGTGACGAAACGAGGTTCGGGAGCGATGACGGCGTTTTACAGCAACTTGCACAACAATGCAGCCTTCGGTGGAGGTGACGCCGCGAAGCCGAGCACCTCAAAAGGAGAGTCGGCGTCGCAGTCTAAGCTCACGAGTGCGGCGGAGCGAGACCGAGAGATCATCGCGCGCGCTGAGGCGACGGCGGCGGCGATGCCTCCGCCGGCTGTTCCGGAAGGCACGACGCTAGTAGAGCGGCCTCAAGATAAAGCCTCGCTGAAGGACAGGTCTGCGGCGGATACGGAAGAGGCGGCCAAAGGTAGTGCGAGTGCAAAAAGGACGTCTGAGACGGAAATATCAGATGCTCGAGCTCGATATCTCGAGCGGAAGCGCAAAGCCATGGCTGGCGGCGCATAGCGAAACAAACAGACGTTTCAATCGTCGATACCCAGTTTATTAGCATTTTCACAGCGTATCACCCTTCGCTCGCGAAGTCGGAAATGCATTACACGTCATCCATTTCGTTTCGCGACGATTTCGAGCGTCGCGGCGATCTTTTCGAGCCACATTGCCTTTTGATCCTTTTGCAAAGGGAACAAGTGGTGACCTGGAATGTTAACGAGCTCGAACTCGCCCGTCGTGTGCGTCTCCCAGAACGCGCACATCTCTCGCGTGATCATGCGGTCAGACTCGCCGTAGAACATCGTGAGTGGCCACGCGAAATTCTCTTTCCCACTGTGTGCGTAGTCATATTTGTCGAACAAATGGAAATCCGCGCGCATGAGATCGTGATAGACCTCCCACAGAGGGCCGAAAACGAGCTCGTTGACGTCCCATCGTCTGCACTCCTCTTTAAACGCGTCTTCGTCCAGGAGGACGTTCACGTGCCACGGCCTGTCACGATGGGGGATGTCGGGAAATGGAAAAGCACTCAGGAAAACGTGCTCGGGCATTCGCATTCCGCGCGAGCGCATCAGTTGCATGAACTCAAACGCAACCCACGAGCCCACCGAGTGACCGATGATGACAAAAGGACACTCTTGCAATTTCGGCCCGACGACCGGTAAAAGTGGAACGGTTATGTCTGCGATATCAAAAGCGTACGGCTCACTCTTTCTGTTGGCTCGTCCAGGATATTGCACCGCGAGAACCTCACACTCGTTTGACTTGCACCATTCGAGCAAAGCTGAGCTCTGGCGTCGCGGTCCGGTTCCTTCCGACGTGAACATGTCCTCCTGGTTCCCCGCGTTTGGAAAGCACAAGACGCGCATGCGAGGCTTTCTGCCATTGCATGACGTCCTCGAGCGCTCGAGACCCGGGAACCATCTCGTGAACGTCGCTTCGTCACACGTCGCCGGTCTCTCCGCGCCGCCGCTCGCGTACCACGCCCGCGCCTCGTCCTCGTTCCACAACCACACGCACTCCTCCGGCGCCGCGTCGCACCGTGGGAACTGTTCCTCCAGGGCATCGATGAGATCAATCATTCGTAACGTTCGCGCGTCCATGGTCACCCACCGTCGTCCGTTCGCCGGCGTCTGTCGCACGATGCTGAAAAAAAACGCACAAAAAACGGTTTTCCCATTTTCCCGCCCAGTCCAACTCCCCTCGAATCCTTCACTCGTCCCCGCGTCGACGTCCCGCGCGCTCGCGCTCGCGCTCTGTCTCGCATGCGCCCGCACGCGTCGACCGCCAAGGCGCTCAACCGCGGTGCCTTTGTCGTCGTGCTCTCGCCCGCCAAGGCGTTGAACGAGCGCCCCGTGAGCGCTCGGCAACAGGCGATCGTGCGAGAGCTCGTCAGCGTGCCCGAGTTCGACGACCGCGCGCGCGCGACGGCGAGAGCGGCGTCGAAGACGTTGAACGCAGGGAAGATAAAGACCCTGATGGGGGTCTCGGACGCCATCGCGACGCTGAACGCGAAGAGATTTAAAGAGTTTGAGGACGCCGAACGCAAACCGTGCGCGCTGTCCTTTGACGGTCCGGCGTTCAAACACTTGGACGCGGAGACGCTGGACGCGGACCGAGCGGTTTATCTCTCGCAACATCTTCGAGTGCTGAGTGGAATGTATGGGATCCTGAGAGCGTACGACGCGATCGCTCCGTACAGGTTGGAGATGGGCACGCGCTGGGCGCCGAAAGCCGACGCGAAGGACCTGTACGAGTTCTGGGGCGCGGATATCGCCAACTCCATCGCGGACGATGTCGAAGAAATGGCAAGAACGACGCAAACGAAACCGTTCGTCGTGAATTGCGCGTCGCAGGAGTATTGGAAATCGGTCAAGTTGGAGTCCCTGACCGAGCGCGGGATCGACGTGTATACGATGTCCTTTCCGGGCCCCGCTGTTTACGCAAAGCAAGCGCGTGGGGCCATGGTTCGACACTGCGCCGACGCTCTCGTGGGCTCCCCACAAGAGCTCAAAGCGTTTGTGGGCACCGATGGGGCTTGGAGCTACGACGAGGCGGCGTCTTCGGAGTTCAACTTTGTCTTCAAACGAGGCTCCGCGCCCGCGAAAGCCAAGCCTGAGCCGCCGACCAAAGTCAAGCGCGCGCCGCAGATCATGGCCAAGCGCGCGCCGCCGAAGAAGATAAAATCCGAGGAGTAGACAGATCAGATAGCATTGAATAGCAGCAGAGACTAATGTCGAGCGGGCGCGTGCCGACGTTCTCTCGTTCTCTCGTCTCGAAGACACGCTCTCAGCACCATCGTCGCGCCACATCGCGTCACGCGCGCACTCACGCGCGTCAAAATACGGCTCCATACACTCGTCACCTCGCGTAGCTCCCTTTGCGACGTCCGAGCGAGCCCTCTCCGAATCGCCGTCGACGAATAATCTCGAGCACGATGGCGTCCGGTGAGAATGGCGTGCTCGGCGTGTTGTGCTCGCCCAAGTCGCTCAAGGTATTGGGATGCGTCGTGGGCGTCGTGGGATCCCTCGTTGTCTACGGCGTGCTTCAGGAGCGCATCATGACCAGGCCGTACGGCGAGGGAGTTGACGAGGAGTTCTTCAAGTTTAGCGTATTTTTGGTGTTGAACAACAGACTGCTCGCGGTCTGCGCGGCGGCGTGCATCTTGGTCGCCATCAAGGGCAATGTCAGGCCGGTGGCGCCGATACAGTCCTACGCGATGGTCAGCGCGTCGAACGTGGTGGCGACGACGTGCCAATACGAGACGTTGAAGTATGTTTCCTTCCCGGTGCAGACGCTGGGGAAGTGCGCAAAGATGATTCCAGTGATGATTTGGGGTTTCATGATCAATCAGAGGAGGTACGACGCCGGCGATATCGCCGTCGCGGCGTGCATCACCCTTGGATGCACAATTTTTGGACTTTACGGTCAAGTCACGAACAAGAACGCGACCAGTGATTCAAACACGTCCATGTACGGTCTGGGGCTCATGCTCGGCTATCTCGCGTTTGATGGTTTCACATCAACTTTCCAGGATAAGCTGTTCAAGGGGTATCACATGGAGACGTACAATCAAATGGTCTGGGTGAATCTATGCAGCGCGACTTTCTCGTTGTTCTGGCTCGTGAGTGACAGCTCCCTCACCGAGGCATTTGAGTTCATCCAGCGACATCCCTCCGTCATGGGAGACGTCGTAGTTCTGTCCACGGCGGCGATGCTCGGCCAGCTTTGCATTTTGTACACAATTAGAGAGTTCGGGGCGCTTTTGTTCGCCACCATCATGACGACGCGTCAGTTCATCAGCATCCTATTAAGCTGCATTATTTTCATGCACCCACTCACGCTTCCTCAGTGGGGCGGCACGTGCTTAGTTTTTGGAGCTCTGTACTACAACTCCTTCCTGAAGGCTGCTCGGAAGGCTGGCAAAAAGGAAGTGAACGCGTCGAGTGACGGGGCAGAGTCCGAGAAGGAAGGTTTGATTAGGGAAAAGATGGATAGACGCGACGTTTAGAGACTGTAATTCTTCTGAGAGATTTCGAAAATTGAATATTACATACAACAACACCGAGCACAAACGCACTGTATTCCACGCAAGTTGGTATATTCTTCTTCATCTTCCTTCGTATCTAGACGCGCCCAAATGTTTAAAATTCATCATTTGGCAAAACAAACGTACAGTTACCAACAATAAAGCAACTCTTTTCAAAGACGACGGGCACGTTGGGACGCCGTGCACACGTCTACAATTCATAGGATGTCAAGTGATCGAACTGACGTGCGATCAAAGCAAACTTGAGGAAAGCGACTCGTTCGTCTTCCATCATAGCATCAAGATTTTGGGTGCCGTTTAAGAGGTCCGCGAGCTGCGCGGCGCCGAGGACGACGCGCAACACTGGTCCCTCCGGGATATCGACCGGTTGGCCGGTGAGACACCTTTGAGAGGCGACACGGCGCTCTTCTTCGGAGCTTCCCTCCACGAGATGGTCTGAGATATCGGAGAACATCAAACTGTAGATCTTTTTCAGCTCAGGAGTGGAGTAATACTCTCCAGCAGAGTTGCGAAGACGAATAGAGATGATCGTATTCACGCCACCAAACTGCCACTCATTCTCGTAATCGATGGCTTCGACGAATTCAACTTGTGGAGAGTGGCGCTGTGCTTCACGACGCGTGGCAAAAACCCAGGAGCGAATCGTTTCCGCCGCGATGTCGTTTCCACCGGCGTTAACGATAGCTTCATTCAAGGATTCCATCTCATGTAGACCGGCGGCCCAACGAAGGAGCAAGCCCATGTTGCAGAAACCTGGCGGCATGGCGTTGTGAAGGCGCGGCATGAGGGGACCGATATCGTACGAAGTGAGATACGACGCACACGCCTCGGCAATGTCGACGACAGCGCTCGCGGGTTCTTCTTCGAGCTCGGCGTTCATCTTTGCCAACTCCGCGTGCGGCAGAAACACGCCGCTCCCGAACGAGGGACCTCCATAGAACTTGGAGCTCGTCATGAGAACCGGACCCATCTCGTCGAGCCAGCGAGGGATCAAGGATGGCCCATTGCGCATCTGACATGCATCGAGGCAAGAGATGATGCGGTCTCCGAACTCAGCTTTGAGTTTCTCGGCGACATTCGGCGACGGCACGCAGAGACCGGTCTTGCTTCCAGCGACAGTGTGCAGTACCACGACACGGTATGGGTCCTCTCCGAGCGTTTCACGAGCAGCTTGCTCGACCAAATCATCGTAGTTGGTGAGAAGATCGCCTTTCTCGGTGCATCGAGCGACGAGTTCGACAGTCTTCATATCGCACAGCTTATGGATTGCTGGCAGGGACTGACCGTTGGAGACGCGGTTTCCCCCGAGAGGAACGGTGGATGAGAAGAAGCAACCCTCAGCGGCTTGCTTCGTACCGCTTCCAACTTCACCAGCGCAAGCGACGAGACTCACGACGCTACCCTTGACTTCGCTCAGGCCCGCGGCGCGCTTCATAGCACGAGAAGCAAGAATCGCTTGAAGAAGAGGGACCATCTCGGCGTCCGTGCCCGAAGGATGAATGATCATCCTGCCGTTACCGCCACAGAAAAGATTCTCGACGCGTTCTCGAACTTCTTCGCAAAGCTGTTCGTCGGCGCGTTCTTCGAGATCCCAGACTCTGAGAAGCATGTCCCGAGACGCCTGGAGAGCGCCTTCAGTGGGCGAGGAGGAAGTACAAGTACCGCGATGAAGTAACTCACTCGGACGAGCGCGCATGCCAGTGAAGTACTTATTCAGGCGTGCTTCGCCGGTGAACACCGATCTATCATCGCTTCCCTTCTCCATAAGACAGATGAGGCTTTCGTCGATGATTTGTTCTTCAAGAGCGCGAACGAGGCCGGTGAGACGCCTCGCGCGGATTTGCTGCGACGTCATGCCCTCGTTCTTCTTAGTGCGTGTCTCCAAGTGAGGCAAAGGAAAACGAATCTCTGCCACGAAGCCGTTGCCATTCGTCTCCGGCACGAGATTAATGAGACCTTCATCCGCGTTGGCCACGACGGTGGTCACTCGAGCGACGTCGTCCAAGCTGTCCATGCGCGGAGAGCCCATCAAAAACTTGACGGAGTGCTCACCGTTGGGAAGCACGTTGTAAGAGTACACACGGAAGTGTGGGGACTCGAGAAGTAGCTTCTTGAAGAGCTGCCCTTGTTCAGAGCCAAGTTCGGAGACGGCGCACTTGCGGTCGGAATTTTCTTCCCAGCCGTAGGGAGAAATTTCAACCAAGTCGCGGAGTCGCGTGACGCGTAAGCTCTCCTTTCGCATCGTCCCAGATGCGTTGATGTTCGCTCGACGAGAATCGTTCGCCTGCGCCCGAACGACGCGTACTGATCCAGAGCGACGAGAGGTCGGCCCGGGTCGTCGGAGCGCGCTCGGCGCCCGACCGTTCGACAACGATTTGTCGCAACAGATCATGATGTGTTTGAACGCGCGAGAGTTTCTCTCAACGCCGCGTCACGGAATAGAATGGAGCGCACCACCGTTTGGTCACGCTTAAAACGCCACGCAAACGGGACAGGCGGCCGCCGCTGTCCCGTGAAAAGGTGTTCAACTGCGTTCAGGTCAAGACCTACGCCACTCGCGCGTCGCGAGCGGCGTTCGTCGAGCGTGAACGGGGCGACGTATCAATCACCGCGAGTCTGCGAAGTTTCAAAGATCGATCTCCGAGTCAGTCTGCGATTCTCTCCGGCGTCGCCCCTCGCCGCGCGCGTCCCGAGCGCTCGACCCGCGCGCGTCGTCGCCCCTCGCGCTCGACGTCCCGCCGCCACCCTCGATCGTCCATCCTTCCGTCCCACCCCTCCCGATCGTCTTTCTCCCGCGCGCGCGCGCGCGCAGTCTTCGCCACCGTCCGAGAGGCGCGGTCGACCCGCCGGGTCCCGCGTCGCGTCGATGAAATTCTCCCACGATCCCCCGCGCGCGCGCGCGCTCCAGAGCGCGACGCCCCGAGCGCGCGCGCACGACGTCGATCGCGTCGCGTGCGCACCGCGATGAGAGAGCGTTCGCGCGCCGCGACGGAGCGCGCGAGCGAGCTGTGCGGGGTCGAACGGGGGGCGACGCTTCGGGATGACGATTGCGGCGCGTTTCTTGAGTCATGACTCGTGAATGGAGGGGGTACGGATTCGGAGAATATGACGTGGCACCGTACACGCGGGTGTGGAATGGGGTCACGCGGGCGTCGCGAGCGGAGGCGCGGCGCGACGGGGGCGCGGGAGGCGTGTGATGGACGCGCATGTATTACCCGTATGTATTACCCGTACACGGTGTCGTACACGCTCGCGACGCGAGCCTTGGTGCCGCGGTTGGGGGTGGATCCGCCGGGACGACCGCGGCCGCGGCCGCCGCCGCCGCCGCCGCGCCTGGGACCGGGAGGCGAACCCATCTCGGTGAAATCGCGCCTCGGTAGGGCGAGTTTATTGGGATAGTTGAGACCGATGCGATCGCGAAGCTCGCGAGGGGCCTGGTTGGGGTCGGCGATGTACGCCGCAGGGACCTCGGCCAACTCCTTGACCCACGTTTTGATGTATTCACCCGCGGGATCGTAATCTTTTGTTTGCTTCGCGATGTTGAATCGGTTGATTCGCCCACCCGTCATACCAGCGGCCGCGCACCAGTTCCCCCAGTTTGACGCGGTGTCGTAATCCAGCAAGTGATGCTCAAACCAGTCCGCACCATGCCTCCAGTCGATGCCCGCGTCGAGGGCCAGCCACGAGGCGACATTTTGTCGACCGCGGTTTGACATGAAACCGGTCGCCGCGAGCTCGCGCATGTTGGCGTCAATGAGCGGATAGCCAGTCGTGCCTGTCTTCCATGCTTTCAAAATCTTCTCATCGCGCTTCCAAGACGCTCGTCTGCCCGCCGTGCCATCGAGGTGGAAAATTTTGTTTCCGTGCTTGAGGGCAAAAAACTTGAAGAAGTCGCGCCATATGAGTTCGAATATGACCCAGTACGTGCTCTTATTCTCCACGCGCTCGCTTTCGTATCTGCGAATCTCACTCACGACGTGACGCGGCGAAACGCACCCGAGGGCAAGCCACGGAGCGAGCTTGGTGCTGTAATCCCCACCGAGCATGCCGTTTCTCGTCTCAAAGTACGTCGCCAGGCGGTCAGACTCCCACAAGTAGTACTTGACGCGCGCCAACGCGTTCGACTCACCGCCCTTAAAATCGAGGACCGATCGTTCATCGAGGCAATCTTTGATCCGCTTATCGCAATCCATCGCGATCTCGCTAGAGGCGAACGGTAAATCGCTCGGCTTTGGCATCCACTCGAACCCTTCGACGGATGCCGGAACGTGGCCAAGTTCGTTCGCCGTCGGCGCGGGAATGACGTCTCGCACCTTGCACTTCGACTCGACCTTGTTTCTAAACGGGGTGAACACATCTGGAAGATCGGAGAGTCCCGATGTCACGTCGAAAGGGACGTCATCTATGTGATAAAGTGTCGATCCCCAGTGTCGCTCCATCGTCGCCGAGGCGGCGCCGCCTCGAGCTCGCTCTCTCGTCGCCCGCTCCACGGCCACATCCATTTCAGTCTCTTCGCTCGTGACCTCGGTCTGCGTCAAAATGATCGTACGATCGTTTGCTCCCGTGAGCGTGAGCTCGGCGATGACATCTCGCGATTTCCCACATCGCACCAATAGGTCGCTGCCGAGCGCGCGAAGCGACGTCTTCAAGTCGCCGACGCATTCGAGCGTGAACTTCCCTCGTCCAGCGCCGAATCTCGCGAGACCGCGCTTTGATGGCTTAAAATACGTTTCATCGAACACGTACACCGGCACGACCTCGACGTCGCTCGATTCGCTCGCGAGCGTCGCCGCGCGCGCGACGCACGCGTTGTCCAACAACCTCAAATCATTCCTGAACCAAATCACCACGCGCGTGCGTCCCATCCCACTCGTCGTCTCGGGTTCCAACGTCGAGCTCGCGCTCGCGTGGGTCCAGCGCTTTCCACCTCTCGCGCGCTCGAGAGGCGACAAAGTCGACCCAGTCGCGAAAAGCGTCGACGTCAGCGACCACGTCGAGCACGTCGTCGTCAGAGCGCGGCGCCGCGACGCGCCGGGACGCGCGACGACGCGAACGGCGAGCGAAAGAATCGTCTTCGACCTCTAGATGAAGAATTCTCCGTCGGCTCGATGGGAGAAGAGGCGTCGAGTGCGGCGGCTGCCGCGGATGAGTTTTTCATGGAAAAGCGCGTCTCAAACGAAAACGTTCAGATCACTATCGCTTGCGCTTCTTCTTGAAAAAATTCTTCCTGCGCTCCTTATCGCGCTTATTCTCTTCCGTGGCTCGCTGACGATCGTGCTTGGCGCCAAAGCCACCGACGAACCGCGCGCGCGCGAGGGCGTTTTCGCTCGGCGGCGGACGCTTCTTCGCCTCGCGGACGTCCACGTGTGACGGCTTGAGCACCTCAAACGCGCCGACCTCGCCCGGTCGCGCACCGTCCAGCATCGCCCGCTTCGCCCGCTCCGTCTCCTCGATGTTTTGCATCCGTCGCTCCACCGAGACGTCGACTTCCTCGATGGCGGTGAGCCAGCACTTCGCGCCTCGGTGGTCGCCGTCCGCGCCGTCGTCCGTCATCCCCCCACCCCCCCCATCGACGTTCTCGTTCGCTCCATCCATCTCCCCGCGTCGTCTTCGCAGCTCTTCCTCGACGTACGCCGTCACTCGCGCCTCCTCCGTCGCGCCCGTCCCGCGCGCAGCCGCGCCGCCGTCGCGTCCCGCCGCGGCGCCGTCTCCCACCACCTCCCGCCCCGCCAACACCGTTCCACCCCGCGCGAACGCCCCGGTCGTGCCCAGCATCCGCGTCTCCGTCCTCGACGTCCCCACTCGCCCCTCCCGCGCGTCGTCGTCGTCCAACGTCTTCGATTCCCCCGTCACCAGCGTCTCCGCGCACATGCCTCGTTTCCGTCGCCGCGCCCGTCGCACCGCCTCCGCTCGACGCAGCGCCGCGATCGCATCGTCGTCCGCCTCGTCCTCGTCCTCGCTCGACGGTCGTCGTCGACGCAGCGGCATCGCGCGGGGCGGTGTGGCGTCAGTGTTCGCATCGATGGCGATCGATGCCAATGACCTCGCGTGCGCCCTGTTCGATCTCGACGGCACTCTGTGCGACTCCGACCCGGTGCACTACGACGCCTTCGACGCCCTCGCGCGCGCGCGCGGACGCCCGCGCGAGGGGTTGACGTGGACGTACTTTCGCGAACACATCGCGGGACGGGCCAACGTGGACATCTTCGCGAGGTTGTTTCCCGAGCTCACCGCGAGTGAACGCGCGACGCTGGCGTCGGCGAAGGAGCGGGCGTTCCGGGACGCGCTCGAGACGTCGACGGTGACGCGAACGAGGGGGTTGACGGAACTTTTAGAGGCGTTGGACGCGCGCGGGGTGACGACGTGCGTGGTCACCAACGCGCCGAGGGCGAACGCGGAGGCGATGTTGACCCGCTTGGGGTTGCGAGAGTACTTTGGCGACCGGTTGGTGATCGGCGAGGAGTGTGTGCGGATGAAACCGGATCCGGCGCCGTATGTAGAGGGGATGCGCCGGTGCGGGACGGAGAACGCGCGCGCGTGCGTGGCGTTCGAGGATTCTCCGGCGGGCGCGCGCGCGGCGGTCGCGGCGAAGATTCGCACGGTGGGTATCTTGTCGTCGCAGACGGAGGAGGCGCTCGTGAGCGCGGGATGTGACCTGTGCGTGAAGGATTTCGCCGCGCCGGCGCTCCTCGAGGCGCTCGGTGTAGCCGCGACGGCGAATCGGTGATCGCGCGCGCGTTCAGTCGCCATGGGAACACGATTCTTTGCTAATGTATAGTATAATTCAATCCTTTTCTATCTTGTACATGCTCCTACAGTCTCGATCTCGGCTTCACAGATGTTCCGCCGTCGACGAGCGCGACTCTGAGCGCGTCCAATTCCGTCGCTCCGAGAGTCGCTCGAACTACTTTCTCTAATCGTTTTGCGTCATCGGCTTGGACGCGTTCGCCAGGGTCCGTCGAGCCGCCGCGACGGATGGCGCACCCACCGTCGGGAGTGGCGTGCACGACCACGCGACCTCTCATCGAGGCGACGAAATGGTCGATACCGTCGCCACGAATCGGCTCAACTTCTTCGACGACCCAACCTGTTTGCTTTTCCATCAGCGACGCGAGTCGTTCGGCGATGATTAACGACGCGTCGTCGCCTCGAACGAAGACGATGGTTCGAGGAGCCACGCGTACGTGCACGCGAGAGACGGAAAAATCTCCTCCGGCGCCGACGACGAGAGGCATCCACGACGCGTGATTCGTCCGCGAGCACACTGCGTCGCTCGGTAAAGGCGCTCCGTGCAACATGGGTGCGGACACGATCACGAGCAACGAGTCGTGCGCCAAGACTGAGCTCGTTGCGGCGCACGGCCATCCCTTCGCCTCCGCGCGAGTGATCGAGCACGTGCGCGCGTCGATGTGCGCGCCTTGAACGAGCACCATGACGCGCGCGCCGTCGCGCGTCAAAACCCCAACGGCGCGTTTGAGCGTCGGTGCCGGTCCGAGATGCGCGCGAACCGGTACATCGACTGGGACCTCGTCGCCATCCCGGGATGATTCAGACGCGCGCACGGACAGCATCAGGCGCGCTCGATACGTCTTCATCGCGTGCGCGTACACCGCGCCTCGAATGTGCGTCAATCCAGCGGATTCTCGGCGCGCGCGCTCCAGGGAATCGTCGTCCTCATCGAGCGACGACTTCGTCACCAATCGCCCGTCTTTGAGCAAAAACGTCGGCGGGACGAAGTGGGCGTACCCCTGACGCGCCGCGAATACCAGTCTCGGGATGTTGTCCTCGGGCATTTGCACGTGCGTGAACACGCGCGTCCATCCGCGCTCGGCGATGAGACGTCGCAATCCGTCGTCACCGATGGGAGGACACCCGAACGTCACGCACCGCACCGCGCGCGACGCCTCCGGTCGCTTCAATAAGAATAACACCGTCGCCAGCGCCGCGGTGGCGCCGCCCAAGGAGTGTCCGCACATGACCAACCGCGCGTTTCCTCGCCCCAGCACCTTTACCTCGTACGTCGCCTCCACGGCCACCATCTCCGCCCTCGTTAAGAACCCCCGGTGCGCGCGCGCGTGGACGTCCTCGCGCACGCGCGCCCAGGTCACGTTCGCGTCCGTCGCCGCGTCCCGCGCGTTCCGCGTTCCTCCGAATGCGTACACGTACGTCCTCTCCGCCGTCTCCAGCACCACCGCGCGCGTGGGCGCCCCCGCGCGCGTGCGTTCGACGCGCACGACGCGCTCGAGGCGTCGTCGACGTCCCAGACGACGCCATCGCGACCAACATGTCCGTCCAACCGCCCAATCGCCCAATCGCCCAATCGCCCGGTCGTCCTCGTCGTCGCACGCGCACTCGCACGCCGCGCTCGCGAGGACGACGATCGGGTCGACCCCTCGCGCCCAATCGCGGGCGCGTTCGAGGCGCATCGCGCGCGCGGCGCGCGGTGCGGTGCGTCTTCGCACTTCGCACGCGATGCGTCACGCGTCGACGCGTCGCGACGACCGCGATGCCGCTCTCGACATCGCGCCCGCCCAGGGCGCTCGTCGACGTCGTCATCGAGCGATACCGCGATCGAGGCGACGTGCGACGGGCCCTGGGGCTGGACGACGGCGGCATCGAACGGACGATCGATGCGCGAGAGCGATCGATCGAGTGGTTGGAGCGCGTCATCGAGCGCACGTTCGACGATCGCTTCGACGACGACGAGCGACGGGTGATAGAGCACGCGACGGGCGTGCGCGACGGACGGGGGGTGGGGACGTTCGCGGCGAGCGCGGTGCGGAGCGCGGAACGGGAACTCGGGACGCGGGCGTTGGTGTCGCGTCGGATGTGGGACGTGCTGTGTAACGCCGAGGCGGCGAGACGAGGGAAGACGAGTGAGTGCGCGGAGTTGTTCTGTGCGTTCGCGAGGGGGAGCTACGACGACGAGGCGCTGTTGTTTTTTTTGTTTTGTCGACGGTGGTTGACGCGGGAGTGTCAGGCGATGCGGGCGCGAGGCGAACGCGTGACGCGGGGCGATCGACGGTACGACGCGGGGGCGAAGCTGTGCGCGAGTAATTTCTCGCTCGACTTTAAGCAGTGCTGTGCGGTGATTCGGGCGATATTCTTCGGCAGCGACGGCGAGTCGGCGGCGTCGACGAGTGACGTCTCCTTCTTATACGCCACGGTGAAGGCGATGATTGAGGACGCGTTCAAGACGGACGTCGCGTCAAGTTGGGCCACGGGAAGGAATGAGAATGTTACACCGGATACCAGCGCCTTGACGCCGAAGGACGCGACGTCCGCTCGAGATCCGCCGACGAGGATGGACGCCTACAGACTTCTGAAAATGCTTCTGTCGGTTTTCGTGGACACGACGCCGCCAGAGGACGCGATCTCGTCGCTGAAAGTTCGCGCGAAAACGAAAAAAGGTAAAGCAAGCGCGTCTGTGGACGTACCACCGGAGCCGTCGACGTCGGCCTCGATTCCGACGGCGACGCCGAAGCAGACGACATCGCAGACTCCGAGTGGCGATGCCGACAGAAAAGTCGCGGCGGATATCGCTCGTTACGAGCTCGTCGTTCGCACGGCTCTCACTGAGGCCGTGGGCAAGTACGTCGCCGCGTTATTCCCGAAACAAGTCGATCGATCCGCCGTCGATGAGGCAGAGACCAAGCTCAATGTCATGGCCCAAGACTTGCTCTCTCGGGTCATCGATAACGCCGCCGATCCCTCATCCTCGGCCGAAATCGTGAGCGAAGCTCCGGTGGCGTGCGCGTCGTACGTCCGCGCGAGGGACTCGATAATCGCCGGCGCGGGTACGCCCGGCACTGAGTCTCCCGCCGCCGCTGGAGCGTCCTCCGCGCGAGACGTCGCGCGGGCCATCCTCGCCAGCGACAAGGTCAAGAACGCCATCGAGCCCATGCTCCGCGCGTCGGTATCTTCGCTCAAAACGAATTCGTAAACTACCGCGGACTCGGCGAGATCATGTTCGTAGACAACGTTGTGATCAGAGTCCCGCCCGGCGGCTGACGCGAGCCGTCTGTGTATTATCCATCCGCGCCGCCCAAAACGGTCCGTCCCACAGTCACCGACGCGCTCCGACCCCGCTCGAGCGTTCGCTCGCTCGACGCATTGCCGTGTTCGATCCTCGCCATGGACGACGCCGCGCGCAGACGCGTGGGATCGATCGCTCATCACGTGAACCCGAACAATCAGGACCTCGCGAACGAAGGTTTCTCTCGCTCGACGTACGCGAGCGCGGACGCGTCGACGGTGAGCTCGTACGAGCGCGTGCACGGGAACGTCAGTCGTGACGCGGTGAAATGGACGCGAGCGAGCGTGCGGACGGATGCGAGCGATGGGGCGACGATCGAGCTCAGGGAGGTGATTTACGAGAAATCACCAGAGGGCATCGCGCGGGTAACGATTAATCGACCGGAAAAACGGAACGCGTTCACGCCGAGAACGATCAAGGAGATGCGATGGTGCATGGACGACGCGCGGGACGATGGGTCGGTGGGAGTGATCGTGCTGCGAGGGATGGGAGACTTGGCGTTTTGCAGCGGCGGCGACCAGAGCGCGAGAGGCGAGGGTGGATACGTCGACGCCAAGGCTGGAGGGAGCGAACACACGCCGAGACTGAACGTGTTGGATCTGCAGATGCAGATTCGACGAATGCCGAAGCCCGTGATAGCGAGCGTGGCGGGATACGCCGTTGGTGGTGGACACATTCTGCACATGGTGTGCGACCTGACCATCGCGGCGGATAACGCGGTGTTCGGGCAGACGGGACCAAAGGTAGGGTCCTTCGACGCCGGATATGGGAGCACGCACATGGCACGGCTGATTGGACAAAAGAAGGCGCGGGAGATGTGGTTCTTGGCGCGTTTCTACAACGCGATCGACGCTTTGAAGATGGGATTGGTGAACACCGTAGTGCCGCTCGCCGAGCTCGAGACAGAGACGGCTGTCTGGTGTCGTGAAATTCTGCGAAACTCTCCCACGGCGATCCGTTTGTGCAAAAATGCGCTAAACGCGGCCGAAGATGGGCAAGCTGGCATTCAGGACATGGGTGGAAGCGCCACTCTACTCTTTTACCAGTCAGCGGAAGGGAACGAGGGGAGGCGCGCTTTCTTGGAGGGTCGCAGGCCAGACTTCTCTAAGTTTCAGAGGTTCCCATAGATCGCTCGTAGTACCTAAATTTATAACCACATTCGTTGCGCGTGACAGTCTACTTTTCTTTCTCCGTCTTCTCGAGGCTCTCGTCTTCGGGTTTCCTTTTCTTTGCACGTTGCTCCTCCTGAGCCTTTTTGGTAGCTGCGATGAGCATATCCTTCCGATTCGCCTTCCGCTCCATTCGCTGCGCCTCGCTGTACTCTCGTTTGCGTAACTGTGAGAAATACGTCATTCCAACGCTCTCTGCCGCGCTCAGCGTCACGCTCAGGCCGTCAATGACCGTGCCTTCGCGCATGAACACGGCTGTTTGCGAGCCATCCTCATTCTTTCGAACGCCGGCTCCGTACAAGACCATGCGACGATCGAATTTGATCGTTTGCGCGCACTCTGCCCAGTCCGGACCGTAACCAACCAGGAATAGTTTGGGAACGCCCTTGAACGACGTGAGGTGCACAACGGCGAGCATCTTTTTGTCCTCGATCGCCACCGCCACGTGCGTTCCCTCGGATCGAGTAGCGATGTCGCAAATTTCTCCGTACGCGAGGTCGATGCGCGCGTTTGCATCCGTCTCCTCGCCCGTCACGGCGTCCCACATGCGCACCGTGGCGTCACCGCTACCCGTGATGATGCAATCCTTGAAAGCTCCCCATCCCTTTTTCTTTCGCTCGGGTTGCGTCAGCGGTTGTACGCACGAGATGTACTGTTCGTGACCGTAACAGAACGATTGAATCTCCGGTGCCGAGCCGTTGAACGCAGTGCGATGCTCAACTTTCGGAAGCACGCTAACGCGCGTCTTGTGCTCCCGGTCTCCTGTGATTACGTAGCCGTTTTTCCCGCCATTCATGCACGCGATGTCAGTGATGATTGTCGAGCAGTGTCCTAGCATCAACGTCGGCTCCGCATCGGAGCCGACTTCGCACGCGAACACCTCTCCAAACTTATCGGCGAAAAGCAAGTGCCTGGAATCCGGCGTGAAGCACGCGCTCGAAATTTTCTTTGTGTTGGAAATTGTTCGCACGCACCGCCAACCATCCACGCTCCAGAGCTTCACCAACTTGTCGTCACCAGCGCTGAGGAACCACGCCCCGTCGGGGCTCACCCGAAACGCACGAATGTTCCCGGTGTGCGGTTTATCGTCGTCCGCCAGTTCGATCTCTTCACACGTCCCCATCGGCCTCGCGCGCAGGCGCGCCATGCGCTTGACGATGTTTTCGCTCGAGCTACTCGCGTATCCACCGTACGCATCGTCCGAGTCCGAATCCATCGCCCCGTCGTCCTCCCCATCCACGTTTTCATCCATCTCCTTCCCCTTCTCCTCCTCGATCGACCCTCTGAACCGACAAATCGCAATCTTCGTCCCGTACGCCACGCCCGCGACGGTTTCGTACGTCCCGTCCGAATCCGCGTCCTCCTCGACCTCGCTCTCCGAATCGCTCTCGCTCGCCACGTCCGTCTCCACTGGGCGTTCAAACAGCGCCAACAACGCCCTCGGCGCGATGTTCTCGCTCCCATCGCGCGTCGCCGCGTCTCCACCGCCGTCGCGTCCATCCCCCGCCGCCGCTCGCACGCGTTCAAAGTGTTCCACCGCGCGCGGGTTACGCGCCATCGCGCGCGCGCGAAGCTCACCGCCGAGGAGCGCGTCGAGCGCGCGCGAGATCTCCGCCCGCGTGGCGTCGTCGACGACGACGTCGTCGTCGGCGTCGTCCATCGCGTCGTCGACTCGCGCGTCGTCGTCGCGTGTGTTCCAGATACTTCGAATACATATAATGTACACGCACGTATGACGTACTGGACGACATGTAGACCGATCAATGACCCATCGGTCGGTCGCCCACCCATCGCGCGCGCGCGAGGACGACGCCGCGACGGACGACGACGCCTCGGGCGCGTTCGAGGGGCGACGCGATGTCTGGACTCACCGAGCGACAGCAACTGGCGCGAGCGATGGCGGAGAGCGCGTCGATGGCGCCCGCGGAGGCGGCGAAAAGGGAGAATGGGCCGTTGGGGCGCGAGCGGTTTGAAATTTCAAAGCTGCGCGACGGGAACGGACGCGAGCGACGCGGTGGGAAACGGAGCGCGATGCCGAGGACGCCGGGAAGCGCGATCGCGGCGCCGAAGACGCCGGGAAGCGGACACGCGCTCTACGGTGCGTTCGAGGTGAACTCGACGGGAAGGAAGCTGTCGCGGGTGGAGAAGGAGCTCGCGTCGTTGGCGCCGTGGGCGTGGGACCCGCGCGCTGGGACGCACGCCCCGGGACCGAGCGCGCTGAGGGATTTCAGCGAAGTCGTTGCCGATAAGGTTATCGCGGCGAGCGCGAGCGGCCGAGCGGAGAAGATTCAACCGAAGACTTTCGACCGCACGCTCCTGAGCGCGGGGAAGACGCCCGGCGGACGAGAGGAGACGCCGGCGCCGAGGACGGCTCCGGAGCGAGCGGGAGAGGGTGGCAAGCGAAACAGGGCGTCCATGAAGGCTGAAAACCTCACGCCGGTGGCGTTGGCGAACACTCTGGACCGAGTCGCGGCGGCGAGCGCGAAGAAGCCAAAGCGCGCGAGCGAGAGGACAAAGGCGTTAGCCAAGGCGAACGAACCGCAACGAGTCGAAGACATTACCGAAAAGGAAAACCGCAACCGTCAGATATCGGCGAAAACGAAGACAGAAAAGATCGCGCCGCGCCCGGCGCTCAGAGACAACACGGCTAAAATGACGAACGGGGCATCGGCGAAGGGCGCTACAAAGCCTTCGAAGAAGGAGTTGGCCACACCAACCGTCGCTGAGGAACAAACAGCGAAGCGAAGTCGCGCTTCTCGTAAAGAGACCACGCACGTGCAAACCCCGCAAACGGCCAAGGCATTTCAAACACCCGTTCCTTCAAAGAAGAAGGCTCGTGCCTTTGCCGTCGAGGGATTGAAGACGCCTGCGAAAGAAGCGCGCTCCGCGGCGTCGGCGCTTCGTGAGTCATTCGTATTGGAAATGGCGCTCGCGAGGACGTACGTCAAGGCGATCAAGCGACCGATCATACCGGCGGCAAAGCCGTCTAAGCGCTTGCTCGAAGCTTACCGCGCATTCTCTCGCGCGTGTGCCACGAACAGAGAAATGCGAAGCATCTCGGATGAACCTGTTCGAATAATCACACCCGGCGTCGCCCTGAAGCGGGGCTTGGACATTCTTCGAGCGGAGGATCAGAGCGCGACTGTCGCGTAGTAGCGGGTGGGGACGATTTAATATCTAAATTCACGATTTGCTTGCGCGTGATGCTTTGCTTCTCTATTGCAGACTATCAGCTATATCGACGGCTTGAGGCTTCTCAAAGTATGCACCATCTGTGGTGACAGCAAGCTACGAAAGAATGCTGTACCGAAAACTGCCGCGGATGATGTTCGTGTAGGAATTATTACGCACAGAAACCTGTACGGTTGACGCTTTCGTTATTCGTCACCAGCGAACGAAGAGGCGCTCTTAGAGATGAGCTCTCGCACGCGCGTTAAAACTATTTCGTTTGAGCACGCGCAGTCATCTGCGGTGTACGGATAGCTCACGACGAGCGAGCCGAGAACGAGAAGTTCGACGTCTCCCGGCCCTTGATCGGCTTTACGCTCCGTGAACGGGACCTTGTGCGCACGCAAGCACTGCTTTACGTTCTCGAGTTGCTTCCCGGCGCTCGGCTTCAACATGGACGCAACGCCGGCGTAGTTGCTCTTCGCCCCCCAAGAGTTGGTTCGACTCCCCTGCATCGCTCGCAGTATGTCCTCTTGACTCGTCGCGAGACCGTTTCCGTGCACTTCCATCCAACCATTTTTACCGTTCGAGCTCAGCGCGTCCAGCGCGAGCGCGTTCCCCCCCACAACCTCCACCGCCCTGATGGCGTGTCCCGGCACGACGACGCACGAAGATGATTTCAGATCCATCGACACAACCCGCTCGTCCTCTCGAATGTCCACGCCGTGCTCCTTCGCACCCTCTTCCGCGGCGAGGAAAACGGTGAACGACTCGGGATCGAGCGAATACACCGTACCTTGTCTCGTCGTCCCGTCGCTCAGCGTCACGAGCACCTCCTGTCCCAGGAGCGCCTTCAGGTGCGCTGGATTCAGACTCTTCAACGCCTGCTTTGTGAGTGAAAATCGACGCCACATCAGTCAGTCTCTCTTCGCGCGTCGTGCATCGCCTCGCGTTCTCCTTCATCGCCTCCACGTCCGCGCGCCCGCGCGCGAAAAACACCCGAGAGTCAACCGACCGCCCACGACCGCCCGTCGCTTCGCCCCGTATCCACCCATCGCTCGCTGGGTCTTATCCCTTCCGTCGACGAATCCACCGCGCATCGAGCGCGTCGCCGAGCGACGAGGACGTCTCGAACATTCGCCTTCACGGCATCCCATCCACGCCGCGCTCGAACGATCGACGCGCGCGTCGTCGCGGTCGTCCTCCCGAACGGTCGCGCCGCCCGTTCGCGGCGCCGGCGCAATCTCGTCTCCCCCCCCGAGCCCCGCCATCGCGCGGCGTCGTTCGCGTCACCGCGTCGCCGACGCCGCGGTGAAAATTCCCATCTCTCCCCCCCCGCGATCTCCCGTCGTCCGTCGCGTCGCATCGTCGTCGCACCTCGCTCGCGCCATCCACCCCTTCGCGCGCGTCCGTCATCCTCCCCGCCATCGACGCCGCGTCCTGCGCGCGCGCGCGCTCGTCCGCGTCTAACCCGCGCGCCAACCCCCCCCCGCGCGCGACGCGCATCGCTCGCCCCG